TAGCTCTCCAGGACCACGGCTGAAGACTGCAGCACTACACTGTCTAACCGTTATCAATATTGAGTTAATTGATGGTCTCACTAGAAAGAAACAGCGCCGTCTTGTGGATTAATAAAATTGTATTTTTTGTCATTTATTAGTCTTATAATGAGCTACACACAGATTAAAATGTAAAATTTTAATAATTACATAATAAAATATGGATACTTGGGCCTACATATATCAAAACTATTTAAATCCAAAATGTTGCAAAACTGTATTGTGTTGTTTTTTCTCTCTACTTATTATTATAACTGCTTGCAGATCCAATATCTGAGTCTCCAAGGGGGCGGCAGCTTGGGAGATGCTGTACGGAGGATGCTGCGAAAAATTGGAAGCAACTCCCTGTGGTCTGAATACAGTTTCAAAGGAAGAAAAGGAAAACGATCTTTTGAGCGACTCCCCATCAATGATGTTATCATACGTAAGTTTGATCCTTCAGAAAAATTACAGGTTAAATTAAATTCCATTATAATATTATTGTTACTATTAAGATAATGTTGGTAAGAAGGTTTATTAAGATATGGTCCAGTTTTATCGGAGAAAATACGGAAAAAGCTGATATTTTCAAATGTATTTCAAAAAGGTGCATGCAGCAAGTGTTATCCGGAAGCAAAATGTCAAGCGATTGAAGATTTGATTGCTGTCACGCTGAAACATGCGCCACATCGTGGAAGGACAAATAATCAGGTGAAACTACTATTATTACTACAAGGCTTTTTCTATCATAATAATAATAATAATAATAATATATTATTATTATCAATAAAACAGCAACAACAACAACAATAATTATTATTATTGTGTATTATATTTAATAGTAATAATTACCATTACATAATATATTATTATTATCAATACAACAACAACAACAACAATAATAATAATAATAATTATTATTATTATTATTATTATTATTATTATTATTATTGTGTATTATATTTAATAGTAATAATTACCATCATACAATATATTATTATCAATACAACAACAACAACAATAATAATAATAACAATAATAATAATAATATTATTATTATTATTATTATTATTATTATTGTGTATTATACTAAATAGTAATAATTACCATTATATTATATATAATTATTATCAATACTACAACAACAACAACAACAACAACAACAATAATAATAATAATAATCACTATTATCACACAATAATAATAATAATAATTATTATTATTATTATTACTACATCTCTTGATCAGTATACAGGGCTCTCTTATAGGAATCTGTAGTGTGGAATGCAACTTGACATTTTCCTGGTTATCACCGCTTACAGTGAAAATAAATGTTAATTAGTATATAATCATGCCGGTGAGTATTTTGGACTATTGATTTATGAGGGGAAAAAAAACTCAAAACGTGTTCTTTTTTGTTTTTCCTGGCGTTTTTTGGAAACCTGATTTGAGTTAAAACCTAAATTCTGAATTGAACTGGTCTATATATAAAAATAGTCTTTGAATATGGAATGAATCGTTTAAGCGTTTAAGCCTAAAACTCTCGTGCACAACTCACAAATCTTTGGAATCGCCCTAATCCCTCTCTTATGGTGCCCCTGGTTAAATGTTACTAATTATACTACTTCCAAAGTAACCCGACCTATTAGCAGATAATAGATGTTTATTTGCCAGAGCTCACAAAATTTAATGTTAACGAATGTGTTTCTTTGTTTATTCTTTTAGGCCCGTTCAGACCAAGAAAGAGGAGGAGAGGAGGCTTGAAACCGCTATAGCTGCGCGCAAACAGATCTCAGCAATGCTTTTTTTTCATATCTAATTAAAAATAAAACAAGTTTACAGCCTATCACTTCTTATGTGTTCATTTATGCCCCATTTTATGCCACAGTTTACAAACTTAATAACGTTTATATCGCTTTAGCAGTAACATAGAAAAGCAGACCTATAAACAATTTAAAACACAAGAAACGATTAAAGGACGTACCATAAACGTCCCCTCATAGTCCTCTGGAGGTTCTCTGGTGGTCCTACAAACGTCCTATAAGAACGTCCAATGAGACATTTAAAGGACTTTCCATAAACGTCCCCTCATAGTCCTCTGTATGTTTCCGGGTGGTCCTACGAACGTCCTATAAGAACGTCCCTTGTACCATTTTGGCGACCCTACAAAAAAACGTCCAGAGGACGTTCGCAGTGTTGGTTCGGGGGACGTCCTCGGGACCTATTTTTGTTAACTGGGCTAGCTGTAGCCCATTCTAAGGCTTTTCCGGTTAAACGGGAAATAACAAAAGATATCTTAGCTTGATCTGAGCTAGGAGGGGAATTTTCAAAAAACACTGAGCACTGTAGTAAAAAAACCCTACATTTATCCGGATCCCCCTCGAACTTATCCGGTTTTCTCACTGGGAAGACTGCCCCTGCGTGATCCGCTGCCGTAGTAGAAGGCGTTGGATGAACTGCGGAATCTACGAGGCTCATATTTTGTAGTTGTCCCGTCAAATCTTTAACACTCGTGACCAATTGGGCCAGCTGGGCTTGTTGTTCCGCCTGTTGTTGAGCTAGGGATTCTAGTGAATGGGTAACTCCTGACAGAACCTGTTGGTGACGACCCAAAAGTTGCCCTTGTTCAGCGAGAGCCTTATGAAAGGCTTCCTGTTCCGCCGTCTGCTTCGTTGGCGAGGTATTCTGTGACACTTCAACAGAATCCAGATGCTCGCGGTGTAAAAAAGGCGAAAGGAGATTTAATGGAATCAGGCAAAAACGAAGTCAAAAAACAAGCAGGGGTCAAATCCAAACAGCCAATACAAAACACAACGATGATAAAATCACCGTGTGAACAAAACCAGGGGGCAAGACAAAAGGGCAAGTCAAAAACAGTCCAGTAGTTTAAAAAACACAGAACACATATCACAGGCAACAGTATCCAAAAGGGTAAAGGCAAAAAGCAGAGTCCAGTAAACAAAGCAAAGGGTCAAATACACAGCAGAGTAAAGATCAGAAATAACGCTCAGTAAGGTTCGGAAGAAACAATACCTCGCACTGATCTTCCCTAAAGCCCGGGCTTAAAAACTATCCTGTTCTGATCATATGATCTAAAGCACAGGTGCCAATAATCAGTACTCAGGAGAATGAGAGTGCTGATAGGAGCGCGAGATATTGTCCGAAGTCATGTGGTCCCCTTGAGGATCGTGGGAATTGGAGTCCGTATCATCCCTTGATACTGGCAAATGCGTGACACAAACACTTAGACTTACTGTCAAAAATGACACCTATACCTACAATCCGGGCTCTGTTTGCCAGCATCACTGGACATTCCGAGGTAGGATGTCCTGAAAAGACCTACATGACAGAAAGCACATGCGGTCTCTGTTGGAAGTATCTTTGTTGGGTAAGTAAATGGTGCTCTGGGAGCTGTCACTTCTTCTGGAAGTTTGGAAGGAACTTTGTCTGAGTAAAAATACACTGTACTACACATTCCTAGAGGTCTGTCACTGGATACAGTCTGGGTAGTGGGCTAATCAGTCACTGCAGCAGGTGAATCTGTTTCTGTCTCAAATAAGTGTCTATGAGTTTGAAATAAGTGCCAATTTGCGATGCTTTTGTGCACACCAGACATTCTTGACTTAGCACAAGGACAATGCCATGAGTTGATCTTTGGCTTGTGACCATAATTCTGCCAAGATGACTGAAGTGCTTCTTCAGAGGAGCCACTGAGTGTTACTGCTACAGACAGAGGTACATGAGGTGACATGGCTGCTTTCCATCTTTTTAAGCACAGACTTTTCTTTGGTACACCGAATATTTTATGATGTACCATTTCATCAAGAACTCTCTCTTCAAGGAACACTATGGACTTAGACTAGTTTAATTAGAGAACAAAAGTCAGGTGAATATGTTCACAGTAGCTAAAAGCACATCCACACTGCAGTGCTAGAAGCTTGTATTAGTGACACTCTTCTAATTCACAGCCAGTAAAGTGTTTTTTGCCTAATGTCTTTTTCTGTACATGAACAGGCACAGAAAAACTATGCCTGCAATGACTTCAAGTGCCAAGTGCTACAAGTCTACTATATGTCTGATTCATTCATGACATGGCGGTAGATAACTACTTTTCCCCTTTCTCCATTTAATTTTTATATTCTGAAAAAAAAGTAATCTGGTTTCAGTCTTGACTCTGTCTTGGCCACTCTTGGCTGTCTTGACTCGGACTTGAAGTGTAACTATTGGTCTTGACTCTGATTCGCTTCTAATTTTCAACAAAGCAGGATTTCTCAGTTTAGCTAAATAACGTAAGCACAAAGTCAAGCCTGCCCAATAGGAAAAGAGCTGAGGGGCGTTGGGTTTAAGTTATCTGGCTAACTCAGAAATCCTGCTTTGTGGACCCCATGCCCCCATTCTTTCTTCGCTGGAATTCTTCTTTAATACACCTATGTTCACCTGTTCCTGACCTCACTGATGAGATGGATTATGTTCGTTAAACTGGGGCTGGAACTGAACTCTGTAGGTGAGTGGATCACCGGAGGGAAGGTTGCTCAACCCTGGTTTAAATCATAAAATAAGGCATATGAACTGCTATGTGTGCGTGACTGTAGGCTTATGATTCATAAATCTAGTTCTCTGTTGCCTTGACAGTAAATTCGCCCTCCGACCGTCAAAGAGCGTATTACGTGAAGTTACGTAAGGATGCTGTGTTTAATTCCCACCCGTATTCCGGAAAGACCCACCTCCGCGCTCGGATTGGCTAGAGTGTTGGGCTTCCTGTTCTTGGATTGGATAGCATTGTCCCATATATTGCGCTTTGATTGCCTATGCGTTCATACTCACAGGCTATGCGCCGATTCAAGCACAGAAGGCGGGGCTTGTCGGAATACAGGCGGGAAAAAAGTGCGAGTGAAAGAACTCGTGCTGAAATATTCCAGGAAAGTTACGAAAACAAGGCTGTTTTCAATGCTGCATGAGTGCTCGCCCACCCTTCCCTCCGGTGAAAGGCAGTCCCCCAAACCCTTCCCCCTTTAAATAAGCTCCTCAGTGCAAGAGCCAATACCGCGACCGAGAAGGCTGACAATCACTCAGTTCGCAATCCTCCGTCAGGCCGGCAGCATGTCTACTAACACGGGCTCGTTATCATGCGAGGGCATGTATTCTAAACTCATCGATGACGGCGGTATTCAGGGCGATGAAGCATATAGTGCCCGACCCCCAGGTGAGACTTGTAACCTTAAAGTCTTTTTTTTTTGTTGTTCCGGCCTGCTTATTTTTGAACAGTTTTGAATGTAAAATGAAGAATTAAGCAATTACAAATCTGGGATAGTTGAGTTTTACGAGAGAGAGAGAGAGAGCGAGAGAGCGAGAGAGAGTTATACACGAGGCGATGGGGTGAGTTGAGAAGACTTTAGCTTTCTGGATGACAACCGATGACCGACAAATGCCAGCAAGTAAATTTGTATTGTTATTTTGGGCCCCTGTATGAGCTACGCTGGATTACACTGGAAATGTTTCAGCATAATGCATGTCAGGTTGGCAAAATCTTTGAAGGGTCAATAAATTGAAACACAGTCAGAAAACTCCAAGATGGCAACTTTAGAGGAGCACGCGAAAACCTTCTTAACTTTTAATGTAACTTAAGGCTGAATGATTTTATTCCAAAGCATTTCTGTTGGACCAATTAGCAATTGAAATTTGTAACAACATAAGAGCAGCTGCTGTGTTTAAATCATGTAAAACAATTGAGGTCTTTTTTTAAAAATGGAGCGTAATTTTGTTATACCAGTAACTGTTTTTACTATGAACCACAAAGTAATATTAATGCACTTGGTCATGTAGTTCATGTTACCACATTATGTGGTAGTTACCATTTACACCATGCATGAAAGATTGTTCTCAGTGATTTCACTTGACCGCATGAAAAGTGTACATACAATCCGGCCAAAGTTTTTGCAGATATGATTCAGACATAAACAGGCTCTAAATGTAACTTGCAGTACTTCTTTTTGCTGCTTTGCGTGCTTCACTGGGATCTGATGTTCTTTAGAGACCTTAGCTAGCTAAGCTAGTGATCTCTTTGAAGCCCAGTGAAGCACGCCGGGCCACAGCAAACACCATAGACACTGTCAGGAAAATGACCCCTGATATAGGTTATTAGATTATGGCTGTTACAGGGGTTACATGTAATGGTGGGAGTTTTGAAAATGAGTCAGTCAGAGGTAGTTGTCCTTTTAAGAACCAATTAATCTTGCCCCACCATCTTTGGAGGTGTGGCACCACCCCAGCGGTTAGGTCAGCTGCACTAAAGGAGCATTAGAAATGTGCTTCAGATGTTGCTTAAAAATCTGGTTTTGAAATGTCAGCTGCCCTGGGCAGAAACCAAAAAATAGAAAGATTACAAAAGTAAGGATGCAGCTATTCACTAGTGCACTCTTAAAAATAAATGTTTCTAAGCAGTTATTGGCTTGGTTGTATGGTTCTAGGGAGGAAAAAAGAACATTAGCAGCTACTGAAATTAACATTATGTGGGGTTCTTTAAAGTTTAGTTTTTCACATTTCCTCATGCATTGAAAGGTTCTTTAGGGAACTGAAAATGGTTCGTCTGTGTCATCGCTCCAAAGAACCCTTTTCAGTGCCCTTATTTTTTATCACACTGTATACATGCCTTACAACAACGTTAATATAAGTTAGAAGAGTTATGAGTCATAGCTTATAGACATGCACTGGGCTTGTCCTCTCTCAGGACAGCTCAGCCTGAAATCTGCACCAGTGAAGAGTACATCCATATCCTGAACTTGTACAGACATGTAGGTTATATACCTCTAACACAACTGACTGAACAAACAAAGCTGAAGTAAACACTGTGGAAAGGGACAGAGAGCACTTCAGAGAAATTATATATATATAACCCCCCCAAAAGACTTTGTGAATGGACATGTGAACTTTTTCAAAGAGATTTGCATTTATTTTAATGGTTGTGTCTGTTATTATTATAGTAAAATACGGTATGTTAGAATAACTAGTTGAACAATAAAACTGCTGAATTACATTGTAAGGAAGTCTTTCTGGGAAATTCAGCGACTGTAATTTTACAGATTTTTACCATCGTTGAGAAAACATACTTTTACTGTTAATTAACATGTTTTGTCTGGCACTGCTGCTGTCTGACTTTTTACCATGTTTTTACTAATTTCTACTGTATAACTGTTGGAATTATTAATAACTTGTTTGTCTTTTGTCTGTAGTTTTTGTAGCCCCACCAACAGCAGGCCAGAGACTGACTCAACGTGGACCCTACAGAGTGGCTACAGCATGTCTTTCTGTTTTCTGCCTCATCTTACTCCTGGTGTTGGTGGCAATGAGTGTACACTGTGAGTTTTGTCATTTTTTTTTCTGATGTCATTTTCTGTGTCGTCTCCATTTTTGTTTGGAGAGTTTATGCTGGAAAGCTGTATTTGCTGTCAGTGATCAACCTTCAGTTTGTCAGAGTGTCGATACTTCACATGGTTTTCATAACTTCAGGAAAATTACCTTCTTGAATCTGCACTTTCTTCCCATAATTTGCACATAATAGCTATCTGTCATGTAATCATGCTGTTACCTAAGATGATATTTTGTTGTTTTTCCCACTGGAATTTTAGCAATCAGAAACGATGATTGATAATACAGATTTGCCTAGATGTTTTAACAAAACAGTCTTTTTTGATTGTCATATGGCTAATTGTTTAAGTATCAAACCTATGAAATGTATTAGTCCTCTGGTGCAGTTAGGGCTGCCATTTTAACACACACGATTCATATTGTAATCACTGACTGGATATTTACATAATGAGTTACACTCAGTTGTTGCAATCATTTATCAATTCTGTTTGGAATTGCAAACCTTATCTCTTCCCTTTTTTCATGCTTTTCTTCCATTTCTCTTCTGTTTTCACTTCTATTACACCCTTCTGTTATAGATAAGAGCAGTGCTGCTGTGGGCAAGGGCCAAAACTCAGTTTCCCAGAATTCTTCTTCATCACCTTCTACACAGAGGCAGAAAGCTTGCCCAAATGTGACCTCCCTGAATGCAGAGCAGAAGAGACTTGAGGAAAAGAATAGGGAACTGGTGGAAGAAACCAACCAGCTAAAGGCCATTATTGAAAAGCTGGGTCAGTGACATGTGCATGCTTAACAGATCAAATTGAACTGTTTTTTTCCACTTGCAATGAGATCAAGCACAAACATATGAGAAAAATGTGATCCTAATTTTTGAATAACAGCTTTCATCTGTGTGTGAATGAAACTGAGTATTGAAAAACATCAGTTAATAAGATTCTGAACAGTTTAAAGTTTATGCCTAGCCATTAGCCCCTTTATACACAGGTTCAAAATGGTTTCTTTTTTTTTAGTTACTTTCAGTGGTGGACAGTAGTAAAGTACCTGTGTAGTAATGTATATCATTACTGCATTTAAAAGGCCCATATGATAGAAAATCAAATCGCTTTTTTGAAGTAAAGGAATTTGAAATAATAGCTAAATGTCACATTAGGCAGATGAACTAGACACTCACGGAAGTAGGATGAAAGAACTTCATTTACAATAGGGCAAAACAGGGGAGTAGTCAGTAATACAGGACAAGTCAGAACCAATAGAGCAATAAACTGGTACATAAGAAAACTGAAATCAGAGTCCATAAACAAGCAAGGGTCAAAAGACAGAGAAGCAAACGCCAAAACCATCAAAGTCCAAAGAAACATCCAACAGAGCAAACAAGGGCCAAAAAACAGAAAGAACTCTCAGTATGTAAAAGACAGGGCTGTTGGCAACACTTCACAACGAGTGAATGAAATGAACAGGTATATATACAAACAGAACTAATGAGAACAGGTGAGTGATTAGAATTCAGGGAAGGAGGATCAGTTTAACTGCTCATGATTGGTCGATGACGGGCTTGTGACTGTGACATCAGAACCAAATGTATGATGGCAGTTGGTTTTTATTTAGTTTAAGTTTTAGTTGTAGGTTTTAGTATTATGTTGAATGCTAGTGATATGCTAATGATAGTGAAATATTTGAGAATGGTAGAATAAAATAAAACAACTTTGGCTCCAGCTCAAGATAGCCAAACATAGAAGGCATCCACCTCTAAACTCAGTGATTCTGTTTTATTTTGGTTAGTTTTTGCAGTAGACATTATTCTCTTTTTTGTGTTTTTGAAAGCTGTGGTTTTTATTTTCATTATAGTTAATGAGCACATTTTTTCACTGTTAGCTTTTGCTTTAGTAGAAATTTATAGTAGAACTGTAATAACCTGTTCACTACCCAGTCCATACAGTCCATATATGTAAAACAGCCTGTTTCAAATTCATTGTTTCTGTGATGTTTCTAGAACTGATGTACAAATATTCACCTATTCAGCCAAAGCAGCTTAGTTCTGCCCATTCATACTAAATTTATGAAGAGTGTTTCAGCTCTGAGTGCTTTTTGTAATGAGGCACAGTACAGGACAGCCAATCAGAACAGAACTCTTTATCTTACATAAGTCGTAAAGGTACAGTAACAAAAACAGCCTGTTTAACTCTAAGGGATAAAGAGAGATTGGAAAACGATCGAGTAAACATGAATTATGGTCATTTTGGTGCATGAAACCACACAAATGTTATTAAGTGGACCTCAAGGGAAAAAATAAAATGCTAAATTGTAGGATGTGCGTGATTTAAGTATGTTTTTCAAGTATCTGTACTTTAAGTATTTCCTTTTTTTTTTATTTTCACTCCACTACTTTCAGCAAGATATGTTAAGTGAAAACTAGATTTTCCAAGATATCTAAAACAATGTGATAGACGTTCAGAAATAAATCAAACCGCGCTTTTTCACTAAATTCCTTCTCTAAATACCGAATGTCCAATCACAGCTTAGCAACTGTAACTAGGCCCGAGCGAAATACTACTTGAGTAGAATTTTATCAAAGGTATCAATGCTTTCACTCGAGTATAGGATTTGTGTACTTTGTCCACCAATGTTCTAGGTTCTAGGTACTTATGCACATGAAAAGATCTCTGTAACAAAACATGACAGCTAGTAAACGAGCCATCGAGTTAACACTATAGTAGTGTTTTTTCATTTTTGTATTTTTCCAGAAGTAAATTGTGGACTGTATACTGTCATCCAAGCTTATTTAAGTACCACTAGACAAAAATCGGCACACCGATTATCCAAGCTCTTTCTCCCTTTTTGTTCAGAGGCCACCCCAACCCCACCACCAGTGCAGTGCACTAAAGACTGGCTCTACTTCAACGGCAGCTGCTACTTCATCTCCGTGTTTGGCCGAAGTTGGAGGGACAGCCAGACGTACTGCAAGGGAAAAGGAGGTCATCTTGCCATCATCCATACAGCTGAGGAACAGGTGAGTCATGCAATTTTAAGCATCAAGGAGGGAACTGTAAGAAGAAAAGGAGTAAGGCACCCTGCATCTTAATCCTGAAAAACATCTTAGATTCTTGACATTGCCTGTGTAATTAGCAGCTCATTCAAAATAAGATGATTGGGGAAGTATGCTTCAGAGGAATGTCCCAAATTTTCCTGAATGGCCTAACTGTAAGAATTAGGCTATTTAGAGTAGCCTAAACCCTATAATGAGAAGTAAATGTAAAAATATCTTTCCAAAAAAACAACACAAACGTAGCAGGTCAAAAAACTACTAGTACCAGTAGCACTGAGTAACATATGGAACATCTTAGTACATCCAGCATCTATAGGCATAGGAACTAAAGTTTATTAGGCTCTATTCTTCTCATTTTGATACACTGTTGGTTCAAAATAAGTGGTAAACCTCAAAAGTCAGAGGTGCGACCAATTACAATTTAAGTGCAGATGCCCATGTACCTAAAACATAAACGTCACCATGTATATCTGTATATAGCACACGTACCTACTGATCTATTTCAAATAGGTCATTTAAGATATGGCAGAGGGGACTATATACAATATATGTAAATAATAATAAGGTAAAATATAATAAAGTAAGAGCCTGCTAATACCATTTGAAATGCTAGAAATTTGTGTATGTCATAAAATATACAACATACTACTAGAACGTTTTTTTTTGTGACATGCTGTCACCCTCCCTAAACCTTACGTTGTGCAGATGATCTGATGTAGATGGAACATGAATATAGGGTTGATTTAGTGATTTGTATGAAATCAACCCTGAAATCATTGTAGTTAGTCTCAAATAGTCATTATATATATATAGTATATATAGTCATATATATATATATAGTATTTATATATAGTATATACCCCCGCCCCAAACTGATGGTTTGAGCAGCCAACAAGTGCTCAGCATATATGTAGCTTCTTCAGGCATCTCAAGTAGCTCCTCGTGTAGCTACGTGAGAGAATGCTGCTACTGTGCAAAGCTGTATCAAGACAAAGTGAGCTACTCTGCTGTCCAGACCTGGAAACATATGCATTTGTTTAAGCATTAGACATGAGGGCTCATATTCACAAATCGTCATAAATCTAGGATCAGATTTCTTTCTTATTTACTATGACGTTACTGAAAGAAGCAGATCCTAGATCAGCACTCCTATTTTGAGAAGCTTTATGAACACAGGCCCAGATCAGTGTTAGCAAGTGTAAGTCTTAAATGAGCATTACTGTAAATACTGGCTCAAAAATAACTAAATAAAAACATGCTGTTATGGCCACAGCTCTGTCCAGCCTTTGCATGAGCACAAGACTCTGTTCAAACATTTTTTAATTTACTGTGTACACGGATTTATGGCATTTATCTGTGTTTGCAGTGTAGGCACCATTCTGTACAGTGGCATCTGTACATATGGCATCTAAAGATGTCTGCCAGTGAAATCACTCCTTTACAGATGTCTCCAGTGCAATCACTCTTTCAATTTTATATTTTTTTTAAATCCCAACACCCAGAATTGAGCCACTTATTCTTGACTCTTCCCTGCTCAAACACCTGGTTTTGCTCATGAAGTGCTAAATCATGCATTAGAATCGAGAAAAAACAAAGGGTCCCCATGCTCTGGATTGAAAATCAGACAGTCTTTTGAGTTCCACCCCATTGTCCTTACCTGACTTTTACTTCCACTTATAACATCACCTACAAGGGAGTAATTTCAGCAGAACTAGTATTTGAAGATTTGTGCAAACGCATTTCACATCCTTCTGTTTACAACTGAAAATAGTGCTAGAACAGCATAACCTGGTCATCTGCAGAAGTTCAAGGAAGGAACCTCAGCAGAAATGTTTGAATAACATCATTTCCTAAGGTCCTGTTTTTCCAATAATATGCTTAGTTCATGCTTTATACCCCTAAATAGTTTATTAGCATTAACTTTGTCTGTGGTAGCTTGTAGTTTTAATTCTGAAATCACCCTTGTCTGATCCTAGACCTTCTTATGGAACCTGTTGCCACGAGGTCACTGGAATTCTTATTGGTTTGGAATCAGTGATGAAAAGCTGGAGGGAGACTGGTACTGGGTGGATGGAACCAAACTGGTTGGAGGGTGAGTGAGAATGTCCAAGAAACATGTTAGATTTTGGCGAGTTTATAAAGAATTCTTACAAAGCTGTGATTGTATTTTCTTATTACATTGGCGTAGATCTCAGAGTAAGCTGAAAAACTCTAAAAGATCTAACATTGACTAAATTCAGCACTAGAAACCCAATTGTCATCACTGACGTGTTTTAATATAACTCAGTAGATTCTGGACAGTATAAATTGCTTAAATATTTTTAAATGCATATTATTTTGAAGTTCAATGACTTAATCATTTCATTAAACCTAGTGTCCTTACCAAAATATGCAAATGGGCTACTTTAAGGTACACCCAATCCTAACACAGGGGTTCAAACTGCAAACACAGCTTGTATAATCTCTATAGTTAAGCATTGTTAATAAAATGCAAAGCTGCACATGAGCCTAAGGTCACCATGCTCAATGCCAAGCATCAGCTAGAGGGCCATAAATCCCCCCAGTATTGGGCTGTGGAGCAGAGGAACTCTGGAGTGATGGAGCTCCATCCAATACCTTTGAGATGAGTTGGAATGATGTATGTGACCCTGAACTAATCATCCATCAACAGCACCTAAACTCACTAATGCTCTTGTGGCTGAATGCAATCAAACCCTCACAACATGTTCCAACATCTAATGTAAAGCCTTCTCAGAAGAGCAAAGGGTGTTAGTGCAGCAAATGGGGGACAAACTTCTATTGAAGGTCCTGTCTATCTGTCTGCTGTGGTCTTTGAATCTCTGAAGTAATACTTAGCCTTGAATAAATGTGGTAATGCCTGTTTCAAAATACTCTTTCTCATGCTTTGTTGCTACAGTTTCTGGGAGGATGGGGAACCTAATAACCACATTAATGAAGACTGTGGCTACATAGTGAAGACAGAAGTGTTAAGCCGTGTAGCTACCAAGAGTTGGTACGATGCACCATGCTACATGTCCTTACCCTGGATATGCGAGAAGAAGGCAGAGTCGACCTCATCATAACCATCATCAGTTTTCTGACACTCAGGATGTGTTGTTAGTCTCAGGGGATTTAGAGCGAAGTGTCCAAAATACTAGTGTTGTATGTGCTAAATTATATACGCTTTTAAAGTTATGACACAAAAGCCAAATCAAAATAATTCCGTCCTGGGCAATCTAACCATCCAGTCCTCTGAAGTAACATTTATATAAGCATATTATAACTCTGATATCTTTACTGATACTAACAGAGTGACTTCAACCTCATTGCTCCAATGATCAGACAGCTATGTTAACTGTTATACAGACAATAGTTATCTATATACATAATATAGACTCTATTATGGTATGTGGTCTAATACTGGTTCGTTCAGACTTTATGCCAAAGTTAAAATACCACTGAGGTTTTACCATTATGACTGCTCTGTCCTTTGTTTAAGCTTTATTTGTGGTCAGTTGCGTTGATTATATCATGCAAAAAGTCTTGTAAATATGTTTACTATCTCAGGCTCTCATAAAGATTTTAAGTTGGGTGTCTATGGGCATTTAATTTTATTAAATGTATTCAGCGAGATGTTTTATAGTCAGTAATGGAGAGTGGACTGCATGGCTGGAGTCCTCTAAGCCTATTGTGCTAGCACCAATTTCTGTCAGCAGAGGACAGTGTTGGGACTATTGATGATTTTAGCAATGTTGTGCTGATATGCCATGTCATTATTTCTTATGTCATAAGAAACCAGTGCTGTTGGATTTTCCAATATTGTTTGTTTTTTTTTTGCTCACTTTATAGTTTTGATATATTCATATGAATTGGTGTGACAACTGTTGTAGAGGCCCAATTTGCCTTAAAATGAACTGTTAACTATATTGGTCTGTATAAAATGAATAACGATAATGGGAATTGTCATCTCTACTACTAATAAGAAATAAAGTGCTTAACCAAAAAAAAGTTGTACTGTCTATATGTCTTACATGTCTCATATTCGTACGTGAAGAAAGATCCTGTGAATTTTGCTGTGAATTTCAAAAGTGTGGACAACATAGTAAGCCTTGCATGCTTTGGATCTTAACATTAAATCTACGGTGCAAGCTTCAGTAGCTGTTGTAAAGAAGTCAATGCTCTGGGTGCTTCCAGTTTTTTGTTATGAATCAGCACGCTCAAACAATAGCTTGGAGAACACTGGTGTCAGCAGGCCAGGTTGCTGTTGCATACTATGTCCTTTCCTAAGCGTGCTCCCATTTCCCAGACTTCCATTTGTCGGGTTACCACAGAAGCCACCAGGAAGAGTGCTAGCCTGCTTCTGTCAGAGCTTGTTAGATTGGATTAAAGAGAGATGCGCTGAGTGTCAGTTTATTAGATCCACCCACCTTCTAGCTACACTTATTGCCCCTTTAATCAACAATATACAGTCACATACAAAAGGAAAAAAAAATAGTGCACAATTTTAGTTAGTTATGCTGTGTGTTGAAAAAATAAAACATAATGTGGCCTAACTTTTGCAAAAGCTAAATTTACTAAAGTTAACTCAATCGAATTCAGCAAATAAACAGTAATTGTGCATTCAAATGTGCAGAAATATGTCAAATATCCAGCCCACATTCATTTATATTCACTTAGATCAAATTAACATGTCATTTAACCGGTCAGTAGTGCCCAGACATTTGCATACTGTAGGTTTACACTTACTGACTGTAGATCAGTTGCTACACAATTTATCAACCCAGGAGCACAGGAGTTACACTGACATGGTAGTGTGAGTGATGCTGGTATGAGTGTATGAGGTACAGCAATGTTACTGGAGTCTTTAAACCATTGAGTGTCAGTGCTGGGTTGAGAAGAATCCACCAGTTTAAAATATCCAGCCAACAGTGCTCCAATGGTCAAAAAACTAACGACTGATGAAGGGTTAAAGGATGACTGACACAAATTGTGCAAAAAAAAAACACAGGTCTTTAACTGACCTACAAAGTGAACTGACAAGGTTTGTGTTTGTAATAAAGTGGCCAGAAAGTGTACGCAGTGTGTAACAATTCCAGCAGCACTGCGATGCGTGATATACATATATGCACACTAACATGCCACCACCATGTTATTGTCACTGCTGTGAATAAAATAAGCACCACTCTAAGATCTAGTCAGCGGTGGTCTCAATGGAGGCCTTTTTCCATTGATTTCTGTGGGTAGAAGGGGGCTAATAAATCATGTAACAACAGGTGGGCTAACTGTAACTGCAAAGTCAATAACAGTAAATCTACATCTACAATGTGCATCTACATGGTAAGTGTATCGGATAAAAAAATGTAATGAGTGTAGGTGCAATGTAGGTGTACCCAACAACCTGACGACTGTAGACTGAGAGCTGAGGAATAATTCACTGAGGTGTCTCTCGTATGCTGACCTCTGACTGGTCTATGATCATCCTTAAATATATAAGATAAGATAAAAATGAAAGAAATGAAAATCTTCTTAGCTGCAGAGCTTTTTGTGATTATATGCCCAACTGCATTTTACCTTAAAAAAGGTGGCTCTTCAAGGTTTCTTTAGTAAAGGCACTGGTTTTATTAAGGACCATAAGTTCTATAGATACCTTGAAGAATCATATTTTTAAGTGTATGTCGCATGTAACAGCTGAAAACAGTCCTAACCAAAAGCCACTTGCTCATCAACAGCACTTCTAATTCTATTTAGTAGGTGTTCCAAATGAAGGACCTTATTTGATGATGCAGTAATCTGGCAGGAGTCTGAGCGCAGTGCTTGAGAAGATTACTCAAGCTGGCTTGTTTACACTACACATCAGATTCAGAGGCCATGGAGTGGACATGACAGTTCAGGGAGAGTGATGGGGGGAAAAATGCAGGATTTGTGGGTTAAGTGTTTGTGGTAAGTGTTGGCTCAATGACAGAACTGAACCTCTTCATAAGCCTTACCTCTAACAATCAGACATGCTAGAGAAATGCTACCGTGCAGTCACTGACCAGCTGTCAGTCACTGAAACACTAAAAGTGGCAAAGAAACCAATTCACCAAGTAGTTGCAAGCAGTTTAATTTCAAAGTCAATGTAAATCAGAAGTCATAAAGCACTTTCCTTCTATACCTTGACATATTTACCAGTGAAGTACAGTATCAGGGAGGGTCTCTGAGCTAGTTGAACATTTCACTAAGTAATAGCTCGGATGTAAAACATGATATTCTTGATTAATGTTAGTTTTAAAAGAATTCTATCTTGCTGGACCAAATTTCGAGGCAACAATAGGCTATGTCTGATCTACGACCTACAATTTTAAGAGAGGACTAGCGTCTTTCTGGCAGTATTGTCCATACAAGTTAAAAAAAAGTAACAAACATGAGAAATTTTAGAAAGTCTTAAAATTAATTATCTTTGGTCCAAATAGGCCTTCTGCTTATCCAAAGAAGAGTGTCCATTCTCCATTCTTCTTCCATGACTACTCTTAAAATTTTAGAACGAGAATGTGGATAGGAGCTTGATTTTGCAGCATCTTTATTATAATTCTATTCTAACGAAAGGTGACAAATGCACTAAACTCAAATCAATCAGAATCACTTTATTTCACCAAGTCTGGTGAAATTATATACAGTACATTACAGGATGATATGAACATTAATAAGAATTTAACATTTGTACAGCTGTGCAAATAACTTTATGTGACAGAAGGAGTTATACTTTAATACTGTAAGGAGGATTGTTGGTTTCAGTTTAATATTAAAAAGCAAGGTGTCCACTCTAGTTAATGAGCTCTGCACCTCTGGGGAAAAAACTGCTAGCATGTCTGCTTGTATCTGGTTGTGCTTTGATGGCCCTGAATATTCTACAAGAGGGGAGTGGTTGGAGGAGTGGATGTCCAGGATGAGATGGGTCAGCTGTAATTTAGCCAGCGCACTTCATCACCCTGCTGTTGTAGATGTCCAGGAAGTGTTGGCAGACTACATCCAATGATCCAATGAAGATATTATGGGTTTAGAACCACTGGGGGAGAATGGGTGTGATGTGTGCTGCCCACAATTAATATAGCTGTTCTATCCTGTTCTATTAAAGTGATCATTCTGGCACCACTAACAACTAGTGCACCCTGGTACTAGCTTTTCTGACTCTACCCTGACATCTGTACAATCTCCCATTTGAGCTGAAGGTCAAATTACATCCAAAGCAATAGAAAAGTCTTGGTGGCTCCAGCATTCACTACCTATGAAGCCAACAATCAAATAAGACAGGTAAACCAAACCCTCTCTTCACTTTTGTCAACAATTTTCTCTCCTTCCCCCCTCTCTTTGACTCCGTGTCATTGGTGACGCACGCTCGGATTCACTTGCTCTAATTCCTTAACGGGATTGCCGTTTCCCCGGATATCCAATTACATCCTGATTAAGTGAGATCAACCCATTAGGTCCAACAAACTAATGCAGCCCCCTCCACCTCATTGCCAAATTACAATGCCCCTCCCACCTACTCAATACCATCATACCAACATACCACACTGGTGTTATGTTTGTGGTAGCAGTGGTGCTCGTACTTCTTGGTTCAGCTAATGCTGTAACAAATTTACCTGAAATGCTTGTAGTATTGAAAGCTGACATTAAACCCCATATTACCTGTACTCCAAAACACAGCACCCTGTGTCTAGACCACACCTAATTCTAAACAGGATCTTCTCAGTCATTCCTTCTTGCATGGGAACCTTCTCATCACCGTCATCTTCCTCATCATTTTTTCCTTCAGCGCAAGCCTCATGAGTTGCTCCCTTTGTCCTTTGCTGTCTGCACTCACTCTTGTCATTTGACCCCATAACCTGATTTCCTACACCAATCGGTTTACCTGCTCTCTCTGCCCTGCTCTCAGCCTCCCCTCCTCTACCTCCACACTCTCTCTCTCTCTCTCTCTCTCTCTCTCTCTTCCCTCTCTCTTGCTCTCTTCTCTCTCTCCATGTTTCCATCTTTAGGCTTATCCCTTCATCCCTGATCTCCTTCATCCCCTCCAATCCTCATCTGTTCCTCTCTGGAGGAAGCTGGAGAGAAAGAGAGTTTTTCACAGGTAAGTTGCAGCCAGTCTCTTGGTGGAACGCATGAGAGCAAGAGAGAGACGGGAGGACTGTGCTTTGGATTGAGGTGCACAAAAAAGTGGAGCTGCAAATACGGACTGAGACATAGAGGAATAACAGACACGGGGAGAGGTGTTTAGTCTTTTAACGAAAGGTGAGTAACTTTTAAGGAGTTTTGGAGTTTTGGGGTGATCGTCCTGTTGGCTTTCATGGAGCCACCTGGGTTATCGTGGATAGTGGTTATCAGCTGAGGGCCTTGTGAGATCTTTGGCATCTTCAGGCATTTTCTTCCTTGAGTCAACTTCACAAAACTGCCAATGCAGAACTTGGAAAACCCTGAAAACACTGCATGGTCTGCCATGATGTCTTCAATATGTGCAGACTATGAAATGTTGTAGAAAAGAGGGGTTTGTTTAATTTACTACACTTGACCGTAGTGCACTGGGCACCTGTGGATTATCTCATCACTTTGCAAGTTATGGATTTTCTCAGATTTTGGATTTACTTGAAGATGAATGTTGTAGCCTTTGCAAAGTGAACGCCAAACATTATGTTCTCATTACAAAAGCAAATTTAAGTACATAAAAGTATTTCAATTTGAATACTAGCATATCCATATCTATTAACTGACTCTGCACATCATTACCTATCCTATACTTCTTTGTCTTTCCCTTACAAATACCCGCAATATCTAGTCAGTGGTAAAGAGCAGTCGGTAATCGGATGACAGAAGATTTGATTCAAAAGCTCCTGGTGGGGCTTAGGCCTTTCTCCTAACTCCCTGCTTCTTTCATCTGCTCTTTCATCCGGCCCTTTACTACTCAGGCTCGTTTCAGATATTGCAGGGATTGGCCATTTGCATTTCTGAATTGGCCAGAGTCTGTTACATATCCAATCCAGCCCACATTCTACAAACAAAATGTATTCATAACAGTTTTTGAACACCGTTCTAGGCCACAGCTATTGTTCCTTAAAAAACATATTTATTTAAAGCAAGACAGTCACTTAACTATTCCCTTAAACCCAAATGCATTTAGTGTAAAAATGCTGTGTTTTTCTACTGATTGGAAATCTTTTAAATATGATTGCGTAAACTTAACAGTATTTAAACTTGTAGAGATTTATGGTGTTTGTTCCCCTATTGATTGATTACTCATCCAAAATGACTTTAGTTCTGTAGAGTACAAGAAAGCAGAATAACATTTACATATGCAAAAGTGTTAGGCACCTGGACAGCTTTGTAGATTTTACAAAATAGGCACACATTCTCCACACTATTAGTACACTGTTAGTGCACATTTACACTAATTTCATTCCTAACATATTGGAACAAAAAATAAGACATAAAATGACACCTGTGCAACAGTTATGGCACTTTTGCAGTTTTAAATAAGTAGAAATTGTCTGCTAAAATTGACAAAAGTAATACATATTTAAGTTCTTTGTTCTTTGTTGACTTTATTTTCCACTTAGACAATTAGCAAAACATGCCATTTGGCCAGGAGTGATCAAACCTCTGCATAAGACTGTATGCTGATGTTCAGTTGAAGTAAATCATCTACAACTAGCATCCCCATTGAAGGCCTAAACTTTAGCATTAAATAATAACAGTCATTCTAGGTCCTGTTAGTACGCCCTGTTGGTATGCTATGAAGAACATGATTCATCCTGTGCCAGTGACCATCAGATTTTTGTTTTTTACTGGAGAACCATGGCATCCTGCCTGCTTCTGCTTCAGATTGGTAAGAACTGAAAGTTTACATTTGTTCTTCTCTGTGTTTTTCATTGTTAGCCAGGTGCTGCTTTTCTCCCTTCGTTTCCATCAGTAGCTAACCACCCCCATCAACCGCTAACATGGGTGAGATGGAGAAAATGAAAAAGGAGGCTGAGACCCTGAAGACACAGATTGAGGTAGGACTTCATCACAGGTCTGATAAAAGAGCGCTCTGACAATGAAAAAATATATTTTTTACCACGAAGACTGGTAGGGGAGACCAGAGAGGGTTACTAAGAGTTAGCTTTCTGACTGGTGAAATAAGCTGCTGCTGATCCCTATCACTTTTGCAAACCCCCATCTTCTTCCTGAGTTTATGAGAGAAGTTGGATGACTTTGTGTAAAACACTTAATGTATTTATGTAACACAAAATGGTTCTAAGCTAATAAGATAAAATGTCAGCTCTGGATTATGTCTTGGTTAGCACTCATGTTAGTGGAGGTTACATGTTCTAAATGATGATCTAAGTCATTGGCATGAATGACCAGGATGGGGAAGGTTGTAACACAGAGTACACATTACTGACCACATATACAATAGGCCTATTCTGTAATCTAAGGATGTATTTCACTGTATTTCCAGTTGGTCTTGCTATGCAGTTAAGACAAAAAATAGAAAATTAAAAATGGACAAATATAGCTGAATAAATGCAAGTGTAAGTATTATTTTGTAAGCATGTTTTCTATTACTGTTAGAATCTATCCCACCTACGTTTACAATCCACCTTGGTAGTGGGCCAGGTCGTAGCAACAGTATTCTTTGTATATAACACTAGCTTACTTATTTTGTGCAGATTTCTACACTACGGTTATGGTTATAAACTAATAATTTACAGAAACTCCGTTTCTGTGTTACATATGGGTCTGAAAGGATGATTAATGAGTGTCCATTTCTATGTGTGGGCCTACAAGAGAGTATAAGGGGCTAATACTGAGATTACAAAACTACAAAGTAAATGAAGTCTCACAGCCGGATGTTAGATAGCAAGAAAAGCAAATAGAGAATTTTCACCAGTTTACAAGCTTTGTGTTCCATATTCAGTTCCTGCTACAGTTCTGTATGGACATCAACTGTAATTCATGCTTTGTCCACTAGGCAGCCCGCAAGGCAGCCCATGACACAGACTTGGCCGGTGCTGCCTCTGGAGTGGCCCCTGCACCCACTATACAGCTGAAGACCAGGAGGACACTGAAGGGTCACCTGGCCAAAATCTATGCCTTGCACTGGGCCACAGATAGCAAGTGAGACTGTTGTTCAGTAACTTACATACTGTCTAAACAAAACCTTACACCTCCGTTTTAGACTTGTTTATTTATGAATTACATAATTTGGAAATTACATGGTGTGAAAATTTCATAAGCAATAGACCAAAAGAAATGGTCCAAAATTACATGTAATAACCCTTAATTTTCATTACAAATTGTAGGTTTTGTCCCAATAAATGCATTTGCAGCCACATGCAACCATCGCTTAGATCTGTTAAATTCCATCAGCAGCACAACTGATTTACCTTCATGAAGGATTGATGAACGAAACTTGGTACTGGATGATAACTAAAAATAACACTGGGCTTCCTTCAATTCCTTCCAGTGAGAGCTTTGAAAATGAATAAGTGAACACAAAATCACTGCTTATCATATTAAATGAACCACACAATGGAAAACTGAATTTTCCTCCTTTTTTTGAAATAAATGAGTAGCATGTAAACAATGTCAAAGTTTCAAAACGTACTGTTCCTTGGCCAGTCCATACAGTACATACATGGAAACAAAGTTGCAAAAACAGCCTGCTTTGAATTCATTGTTTTTGTGATGTCACAAAAACCATCACATTTACACATATCTGCCTGGTCAACCTACAGCAGTCTAGCTCCACCTATTCATGCTGAAGTTATAAGGAGTGTTTCAGCACAAACTGTTTTTTGAATAAGGCACATTCAAGAACAGCCCATCAGAACTGAGCTCATTTACATATGCCAGTCTTAAAGACACAGTAACAAAAACAGACTGACTTTAAAGGATAAACAGAGGTTGTAAAAAAGACGTAAAACCATAAAACCACACAAAGTGGAAAAATGGATAAGGACATTGGCTATTTAATGGTGTTAGTAAACTCTGACTGCCTAGATAAATAGCTTTTTAAATATAATTTTCTCAGGTGCCTAAAACCTTTGAACAGTGCTGTATGTAAATTGTCAGAGACAATCTTATATAACTGGTTTTATACGAGCTAGATAGACATGCACATTCTTATGGACTAAATTAGGCCTCAGAGCATAAATGCTCTGTTTATGGAAAAAAAAGATCATATATGATATATGATATCTCACTCACATATATTGATTGTATCCCATCCACTTTAACAATATGTCTTGCATACCATAGACAAAATGACAGAATCTCAAAACTGGACCTCCACCCATTTGTGTGCTGGCGATGTAGCATGATGTCAAGTCAGCCGCACAGACATTTACAAGCTCTGTATGTGACCCCCCTGCAGCTAAGCTATAATCTTCCTAGTCCGGTTAGGATTTCCTTTGCTGCACTCCATCTTGGAGTCATCTTGAATCCCCTTTAATGATTACTTGGATCAATTATCTGGCTCAGTATCCCAAAATAGCCACAGACTTTGTGGAATTCGTGGAGAACAAGGAGATTTTATTCTTGTTTAATCAAAGTGAGAATTTTATCCCTAGTGTTTAGAGCTCATTGCATTATTTTATCTTACTGACTGAATGTGTAAACATGGCAAGAGAATCATCTTCATGTAGGCTGTGATAAATCAATCAGCAACTAAAAGGGTGTGCATTAGTGATTGCTAAACAATTTTGCTCAGTGCTAACAACACACTTAACCCAGAAAACTGTCCTCACTTTCCTACAAACTTCAAAACAGGGCAGGAGAAAAGAACAATGCTTCTCCACTTGCCCTCCATTCTCCACATCTTTTCATACTTTTCTTGTTACTTCCTTCTTCCTTCCTTCTCTTGTTGTCAGGCTAATGGTCAGTGCCTCACAGGATGGTAAACTCCTTATATGGGATACCCACTCTGGAAACAAGGTGAGACTGAGGGAAATATTTCCTCTTAGATGCTTATAATCTATGGCAATGTAAATGTTTTGAAACTGATTCAGAATACATGACACTCAGTTGATGCTGCTAACAGTTCAGTTATGAAAAGTTAATTGCAAATAACTGTTGTATATATCACCCCATTCAATTTACACATACAATAATAATACATTATGTTATTAGCATGAAATCCAGACTAAAACACATTATGACCTACAGGCTTTTATGGAAGTCAGCAAACACCTGTGCTCACCTCAGTTCATCTGTTATCTGTCGTCAGACAGATAACAAGCTGTTCTGTAACCTATTGTTTAATTAGCTTTTGTGCAGATTATGGACACAGCAGGTGAAGTGACGTGCAGAAAGTGCCCATCTCCAGCAGTTTAGCTTAGAGAGTCAGAGTTGATAACTAAACAACTAAACAAGAGCTTTACTAATCATCTCTTAGCTTTTTTATTCCAATTGCAGTAGTAGGGACATTTTTGCATTGCATTAGTAGTACATTTCCTTCAGGTAGCTGTGCTTGTCTAAAAATGTGCTTTCAAAAAAATGCTAACATGCACTTTAACCAGCTTTTGAATTTTAGTGACGGTAAAACCCTGTAAAATGATTTTTTAAGCCTGAGGCCTACATCCACATACAGTCTCATGCAAACATTTGGACGCCCCTGGTCAAATTAAATTTATTTTTGATTTTATAGCCATTTCTATTTATTTGCTGAGTTTAACAGCGAGTTTAACAGCTTGGAAATAAATACAATATAAAATGTGCCATCACGTTTGCACAGGCCACATTTTATGTTTCATTTTTTCACTTCACCAAATAAACAGTAATTTTGCATGATAGTGTTCTCTCTAGAGCAGGGGCATCCAATCTTATCCACAAATGACTGGTGTGGCTGCAGGTTTTCACTCAAAACAAGCTGAAGCACACCTGATTCCATTTGTTTAATCAGTTGGTCCTAATCTTCAAACATTTAATCAAGTGATCTCCTGCGTTGTTGGAGTGAAAACCTGCAGCCACGCCGGCCCTCTGCGGATAAGATTGGACACCCCTGCTCTAGAGGATCTGTTGACTTATTTTCACTTAGAAAATCAACAAAACATGTCTTTTAACAAGGGGTGCCCAAGCTTTTGCATATGACTGTATATGAAATATTTTTATAATGGATTTTCTAAACAAATTGCAAGTTTGAGTTAACCCAAACAAAAGAAAAGCTACCATATCCTTCTCCCTTCTTTCCAGATTAATGCAGTTCCCCTCAAGTCCTCATGGGTGATGACCTGTGGATATGCTCCCTCTGGAAACCTTGTGGCCAGTGGTGGTCTTGACAACATTTGCACTGTCTACAACTTGAAGACACCCATCGTCAAGATTGTGAAAGAACTGGATGCACACACAGGTATAGTACAGGTCTTTTCCTAAGTCTTCTCATTCTCTTCTGTCATCATAGTCAGTTGGAATATATCTAAATGCAGTGAAGAAATGTTCTTCATGGTTTTTACTGTAGTATAGTATAGATAGTATTTAGCGATGCTTAAAAGGTTACAGTGAAATGCATATCACTTATCTGATATCAATGTTGTAAAATTACTTATACAGGTTACCTGTCCTGCGCTCGCTTCCTTAGTGACAATGAAATTCTCACTTCATCTGGTGATACCACCTGGTAAGCGTTATTACAAGTAACACATTCAGCACATAGCTTAACTGCATTAACTGTAAAATAATTGTTCTAACAAGCATGTAATTTCCCCCATTTTATGATAGTCAAGGTACCTTTAATGTTGTCTTTTTGCAGTCCTCATCATAAGTTTGATAAGTACCCCCTTGTGAAAAAAAAATGCATTTAAGTACTTTTTTAAAGTGTATTTAATATGAAAAGTACATCCTTTTAATGTTTAAGCATTAAACATACTTTAATACACATTAAATGTGTTATTTTGGAACAACTTATTACAGATAAAGTGTTAATGTGTATGATTTGACACAATGTGTAAGTGTATATAATTAATGTGTATGATATATATGAATTAAATGCATTTAGGTGTGCTTTTGAGTACTTTGTTCAAACAACTTGCACTTATGTAGACTAAAGTATGTAATTTGTACACATAACTGTTATCACACTTGGTATATATAATATACATATACTACTGCATGTACTGATACATTTTAATGCTACTTATTAAAGTTATACTGTAGGTATACATATTCAAATATGTTTTAAATAAAATTTCAATATAACCAAATAAATATAATATTTGCTAATAAAATGTGTATTTAAGACTACTTAATAAAGTATGCACTTAAATTGATTGTCAGGAATAACTAATCACAATTTAGATTTAAATATATCTTCTATTCATACAATACCTTTTCTTTTCTAAATTGGAAAAACATACATCGCAATTAAGTTAAACAATTGTTAAAACACACATTCTACACTTGAAACATGTTTTAAATATGTACTCCTTGGTGTATCTAAACCCATATTTGACTGCTAGTTAGTTAAAGTTATGCTGCAACTACATTGCAACTAAAATGTATTAAAGCATACTTTAAAAGTCAGTGCTTTAAAACACATAAAAAATCATACCCTTTTGTTGATGTCAATTAAATATGTTTTGTATGATTCAGAATGTTAAGTAGTGCATAAATTCAAGTGCATTTCCCTACAGCATAATAAAGTGTCATTTAAAATGCTATTTACAATCTACACTTTCAGAGAAAATGGTAGAAAACTGTCACTGGGGCAGTACCCCTCGTGTCACTAGGGTGTAACCCTCAAGGGTACATCTCAGTACCTTTAGTCAGGGAACATAATTGTACCATAATCCACTAAAACTATATATTTTTTGTTGTATTGACTCCACGCACCCCATCTCGTCTCCAGGCTTTTTATTTTATTGTTCTATTTTTATTGGGTAATGAAAAGGTACAAATCTGTATTTTACTACTGGGAAAAACATATTTAAGGTACACAATTGGACCTTAAAGCCACTGTTTTTACATTGTTTGTACCTTGATGAATGAAAAATGTCCCTGCACAGTACAGGGCAGGGCATTGTGAGGCTTCAAAAATATATTTTTTTAAAAATACAAAAAGGTATACTTTATGTGTGTTTCTATACAATACATGACTTAAGTAGTAAACAGTTAGCTTACATGATTTCTAAATACTGTAGCTAATAAACACATTAAGGCTCTCTTACTGATCTACATCTTTTCATTCTCTCCATTCCCTCACAGTGCTCTGTGGGATATAGAGACTGGGAAGCAGAAGACAGTCTTCCTGAACCATGTGGGTGACTGTATGTGTCTAGCTCTGTCCCCTGACATGAATACGTTCATCTCTGGGGCCTGTGACTCTCTGGCCAAGTTGTGGGACATCAGGGACGGCCAGTGCAAGCAGACCTTCCAGGGACATACCAGTGACGTCAATGCCATTTGTGTGAGTGTGGAGACTCAAAACTGGATAAAGAAGTATTTCCAAAACAATGTTGATAATATTGCATTGAGGACAATACATAATTAAACTTGCTCTTATTTAAAGGGTCATTCCGTTCTAAACCTAGAGCTTAACATGTGATTTTGTTGTGTTATGCAATACTCTGCCAACCCAACTAACCCTTATCTTTATTAGTTTGACCATTGGGTATCCCTATGGTGTCTAATCCTGACTGCTAGCCTAACCTATCTATCTACATTTATAGGCTAATAAATACAAACAACAAAGCCAGTATTAGTGTCTTACCGTGGTTATCAAACAATATTTATCTTCGGGACAAAACAGATGACAGAGAAAGTTTTTTTTACTCTTTCTGCCAGGTATCTAGATAGCCAGATAACTGACTTACTGACTTTGGTTTTTACCTTGTTGTCCTCCTCATCTACCGGGTCATTACTATTATTCAAGTAATCCATATTCTCCATTATAATGATGGTTTGAATACAGTTACTAAAGTTAAATGGCTGCAATAAAATATGTGGCATGACAAGCAGAAAACAAAATCCATCCCAAAGCAGGTGTAGTGTTGCAAAAGTGTCTTTCACGTTCAAGATAGGTCAAGAGAAAGAGGTTTTACTAGTCTTCAAACCACAAAATCTCACTCTAGAGACTACTGCGGCACCACTGCAGATGCAAGTAGGGATGTTCACAACAGATGTAGTAATAGTTACATTTTTCACTTTGGCTGGAGTGACCCTTCAAAACAACAATCTATAAACAGATGGTTTGTAGACATCATCAGGAAACTGAATTGCAAAGATTCCAGAAAGAAAGTCACCAGAGGTCCCAAACATGCAGAGCCTAATCCCTACAAAAGTACTGTAATATAGTGTTCCCTTTGCATGAGATGATAAGTTATCTTGAATCGCACAATGACCTTTTCTTTCTTTTCTCTTAGTTCTTCCCCACTGGAAACGCTTTTGTCACTGGCTCAGACGACTGCACTTGCAAGATGTTTGACATCCGCTCTGACCAGGAAGTGCTCGGCTACCAAGACGCCCAGCTCAACAGTGGTGTGACATCGCTGGCCCTGTCCATGTCTGGTCGCCTCATCTTCGCCGGCTATGACAACTTCAATTGCAACATCTGGGATTCCCTGAAGGGCGAGAAAGTTGGTAAGTGGCCAAAGTCAGACAGCCAGTTCCCATTCGTGATTTGTGTTTTGCTCACTTATATATTTCAGAATTTACATTTACATTAAACTGTGCAGTATATACCTAGACTAGATACCCAGAGACAGACATACCCATTAACCAAATTAATGTTGGTTGTGTGGGCACACAATATGCCTGGACAAAGAAGACTCTATGAATAACTGTCTACAGGTACACCAGAATGTCTCACCTTTCAGTGTAAAATGGTGGGGGTGAAGCAAAGTCTGTTCACTCAACAGCCATCTTCGTAATGCTACTGGACAGTTATTTCCAGTCATACAAGACCAGACTCCTATCTCTTTGCCTCTGGGTAAAGCTTGCGTAAGCTGATGTCACAAAGCTGACATCACTGGTCCTCCAGCATAGCTTTCACCAAAACTGTGCTTTCTTGTCTGAACAGTCTCACCTTCTTTGGTCTTCTTTCTATTGTAGGGCTGAGCCATCAATCTAACAACAATTGCTAAATATTAAACGTGCTGTTAACTATGACAGAGAAGCTGGTTAGCTTTAGCTTAGCTGGCATGCTAACTGCTCTGCTTACCATAGAACAGGTTTGATTCTCTATAACTGAAGTACAACAAGTCTGAGGGAGCAACTGGTGTTAGACCAGAGGTTTTCTAACCTCTAAGGTTTTCATGTCTTGTATTAACTGGCTAACAAAATAAAAAAAAAAGGCAGCACATGGCAATAAGAGTTTCATAAAACAGTTGACAGAGTCATTTAAATATGTATTTTTAGCTCTTCCCCTGCAATTCCTTCATGCCCTACAGTTTGAATACCTCTGTGTTAGACAGACAGAAGGTTTGGATCTGCAGCCTGCTAGCTAGCTATGCTAACACTAGCGTAGTTAGCAGGCTAAAGCTATCATACATCAGAGTATAGTTTCGATTTAGACCAACTGCTCTGCTGTCACAAGTGTAGAAAATAAAAACTTCTGTAATAAAATAAAATAAAGTCTTAGAGAGCAAAGTTGAGTAAAGGAGGTTGGAGTGACAGAAATCTGAAATTGAACCTGTTCTATGGTGTTTGGAGGTGTAGCCTACTAGCCTTAAGCAGGCTAAACGTACCACATACCCCAGTATAAGCATATCAGCTTATGCTCAGACAAGATGCATTTAGAGGATAAAGACTCATATCCAAGAGTCCAAAGCTGAGTGACTGTATCATACAGACATTTTAAATATTTTACACTATACTCAATATATTAAATATTTGACAATATATTCAGTCTATTACCAGAAAACAATTCCTTACTGTTCCTTCTCCCTCTGCTCTTTTGCAGGAGTGCTGTCTGGCCACGACAACAGGGTGAGCTGCACCGGAGTGCCGCCAGATGGTATGTGCGTGTGCACTGGCTCATGGGACAGCTTCTTGAAGATCTGGAACTGAGCTGGTCCAGCGGCAAAGACCCAGAGGAGGAGAGGGAGAGAACGAGAAAAATGAGAGATAAAGCTAGAGTTGGAGGGCAGAGGTAAAGAAACTGGGAGAGAAAAAACTGCCAACATCCAGGTGTTAAGATAGTGGCACTGGCCATTTTTCAAACTTTTTGTGTCACAAAACATTTTCTCTCTCTCTTTCTTCCTCCTGAGTTTTGGAAAAATAACAGATGGAATATAAAAGGAATTGTAAACGTCCTCGCAAACACCACAAGATCTGGCATATTAATATGAACGGTGAAATATATTAATTTATTACATCATGACAAACACCAAAAATAGCATATACATAACATCACTGTAAAGAATAAATGCTAAATATATTAAATATTTTATTGTACTTGGGATACCAATTACATGATAGATTTTTGACAAATAACACAACAACCAAGATAAATCAAGAATGAATAATAAAAAAAACAGAATTATAATTTACAGATCACAGAAAAATATAGATTTTAAGTTATTTTTGTCTCAGGGCTGAATGTCCACATTGTTAGATGAAAGTTTGTATGTAAATTTGTATATTTTAGCTCATTTGATAGGGTGCAGAGGTAATGTACAGTGACTTTTGTCCCGCACCCACAGTTTACAAGTCCAGTACAGGATGACAGCTACCATTTTGACATACTGAAAACGCTGGCAACTCGTCCATCGGGCCATCTAGGTTTGCTGTAACATGGCCACCGTCCACCACTGATCATGTGAATCCTAGATTGGAAACTAAATAAAGTGTTATTTGGTCCATCAGACACTTTCTTTTGTGGACTTTCAACCTCCAGAATGCCACATTGTGTTTATTATACCATATAACAAAGTGTTTCTGTAACCTGTTCACATATTCACATACAGTCACTTTCACTCCTGCAGAATTTCGTAGCACTTTTACATTACCACAGTCTCTCCCAAATAAAAACCAATAATGCATTGAAATGGCTGTTGAAAATCTTTCTAATAAACTTAGAATTCTGCATGAAACAATACTATGTGTATCTATCCATATATATTTGGGCCACAGATTTTGGAAATATTGCCAAAAATAAAACCACACACATTTTTTCCTCTTGTTGGGAAGTCAGCACACATCAGCATGCAGATCTTTTAGGTGTTGTAAATCACCTTTACGATCATTTTATAAACAATGTCTTTAATGGTTTTTCAAAGATTATGATGAAAGTATTGAATAGGTACATTTATGATTAAACCTTTGACATAATTTTAACAGAAGTTTGTAAAACTGTTAAATTGTTATTTAGGCAAAACTTACTTGTCTAACCAAGAAAGACACTGTGATGAACCTAATAGCATGAAATGTACCCAAATTATCAGTCAAAAATGTTGTTTTATGATAACAAAGCCATTTTTCTTACTTAATTAAACCATAAACACTGAAAATCAAACTCTGTGTCACATCCTAAATGGCTATATATTTGACCTACAGTACTGTGCAGAAGTCAGAGAACTTCTTCATTTATCTAATGGCCATTAAGTACAAGCACAAGTTATCTATTTTTCAGCAGCAGGAAAAGGCAGAAAACATATTTAACAGCAAATTACATAACTGCTTCAACAACTAAATATATTTTTTTAGTATTTAGTATGTCTACCCTTTCCCTTTTTACCAACTTTCACTCTTTTCAGTATTTTTTAATCCCACAAAGTTCACAGAAGTCCTGGAAGTTGGTTTTATTGTGGATCCTAATGATGCAAATAATCCCAAACACATTTACTGATGTTGAGGCCCGGGCCCTGGGATGGTCAGTCCATTGTTCTGAGGACACCAGCAGCTTCTTTGTTTGATTTGCAAATGTTATTTTTCCTCTTCACTGTTAAAAATGAGAGGTCAGCTCAACTCAAAATAATATAGTAACTGATTACATGGCTTTTCTTGAATTGACTCAACTTGAGGAGTTCACGCAACTCAAATTTCTTAAGTGAGTCAAAATGTTCTTAATTTTTTAGCTCTGCATCTCAGTTAGGTAAATAAAACCAACTTGTCAGGACTCTTTCCATCACACAATCCTACTAGACATTTTTCCTCTTGGGTACACACTTATGGATGGCTAAGGCATCACTGGAGCTGAAACTTACAACCTCCTGTCAGGGTAACAGCTTAGTCCACTGCACCACTCAGGAACACATGAAACAACTCAGATTTTTCTACAAATGTTTAATACTCTGGAGAAAATATGTGTTGTTTTAACTTTAAAGCATGGCACAGTCTCATGTGGTGCAACTGTCTAATAATCCATCCCGAGATCATGAGTTTGAATCTCAGCAGTACCATAGCTGTCCATATCCGGAAGCCCAAGAGGAAGATGCCAGATGGGACTGAGGGTAGATGGAGTGCCAGCTAGTGGGGAAACTGAGTAAAAAATGCCAAGTTTCGATTTTGTTTATCTAACTGAGATGCAGACCTAGATGGGAAAATGTTTGACACAACTAAGAAGTTTGAGTTGTGTGAACTGTGTCATCAAGTTGAGTCAACTCAAGAAAAGCCTTGTAATCAGTTACTATATCATTGTAAGTTGAGCAGACCTTTTTACAGTGTTCTCAGTAATGGCTTCTTGACAGCTGCACATCCTTTTAGATCCATAGTCTTTATTTTTTCAGATCTGTAGCAAGAGTAGAGCTTGCTTTTCTCTGAAAGATGAAGAGTTTGAAATGCTTTAAGTAATCTTTATCTGATGATGGCAGTTTTGGGGGTTTTAATGCATGGTAGTTAGGAGTCCCATTTTCTCCTTATCTTTTTAAAACTTTTTGAACACTTTTCCTTCAACTTTTTTTTAAATCTTATGTTTAATAACTTGTACTTGTGCCCATTTTGACTGGAAATTATTTGTTTTTATCCTCCTTTTTCTCTTCAACTTTCAACTAGAAAATATATATATATATATATATATATATATATATATATATATAAAATAAATAATATATGTCAACTTCTGTTTACAAATTTGGACACTTTCGTCATATTAATAATTACTGTCATTTTATTCAGTAATGACTTCTACAGCATAGACTGGAATCCTCTACGTTAGACACCAGGGGCTGTCTTACAGAAACTTCTTAAGTCTATAATAATTTCTGTAACGTGGCCCCAGGTGTTTTAAGATGTTTTATTCAGTAATATGTTGTATTGATGAATTTAAAATTTTTAGGTAACAATTTAAATGATAAATAAATAACATATAATCACTGATTCATAGTCATTTCTTTATAAGCTAAATGCATTGAGATTTGATTACCATGTTTCAAATATTAAGCATACTGAGTGTTTATTATATTATTTCTTGTATTATTATTATTTTCTACAGCTTTCTCAGTCATAACAAAATCATCTACAACTCTAAGCTCAACCACAACTTTATTACAAATCCCTAAAGTGAGCAGGTCAGTGGGCCTTAGGCTCCAGTGTGGCTGCTCCTGAGCATACTAGTCCACTGGCAATGCTTTTCTATGGAGATTCTATGTTGTAATCAGAAAAGGTGTCTGGATACCTTTGGACAGTACTGTAATCGTGTTGCAGTGTCCATCATGTAGGGTCAATTTCACCTACACTAGATTTTTAAATAATTTTTTCATGATTTTAATGTATTTTGACCCCAGACTTTTAGAGTGTTAGTATTGGAATAGCTAACAATGCTGTTTTTCTTATAAACTCTTAAAAAATGTGCTTTTTTTGGGGTGTTTTAATAAAGACACTAAAGAACCCGAAACTCAAAGAACTCTTTGCATGATGAAACTGACCCTCCCGATGTTGCTGCTCCTGCTGCTGCTACTGCTGCTGCTACTGCATAAACTAAATCTAATCTAATTAACCATTGCTCCACCTGTTTTCCCCGTTTTGTACTATAATACTTTGTACTAACGCTGTTTATTATCCGGTGTCGACCAGAGGAGGATAGGTTTCGCTTTTGAGCCTTGGTTCCTCTCAAGGTTTCTTCCTCTTGCTCTTCGGGAGTTTTTCCTTGCCACTGTCGCCATTGGCTTGCTCATGGGGGCTTGGACCTGGATTTTTCTGTAAAGCTGCTTTGTGACAACATCTGTTGTGTAAATAAACTTTGATTTGACTTTGAAAGGGTTCTTTGCATCATGAAAGCGTTCTTCAGATTGAAGGGGAATTTGCTTTAGATGGATCTATATAGAAACTTTTTGACAAGGGGGCCAAAAAAGTTCTTTTATCATCACAATGTCAAGCTTGTAAAAATAGAAGAACCATTTTTGGTGCTATACAGAACCATTTTCAAAAAAGGCTTTATATAGAACCATATATAACACATTCTCCATCAGTCTAAAGAACCATTTCATCATGCAAAGAAAGCTTTAATCATGCAAAGGGTTCTTTCTTTAAATGGTTCTATATAAAACAATTTTCTTCACTAAAGAACACTTAAACCATCTTTCGTTAAGAGTGTACATAACTCGCTAATTTGATCTCTTATTAAGTGGGCCCGGCGGGTGAATAAACATAATTTATTTTTCTACACTGCTGCTTAATGCCTAAGTACGTAACCTACGTTTGTAAATAATATTTCACGCTTTTATTAAGCAAGTTGTCCACCAGGCGGACCGACAATGATAGACGTTGAGATGGCAAGAAACGGGCCTATAGCAAAGCAAAACGTGATGCGCTTTTTTATGATTGGTTAATATTTGAATGTCCCGCATTCACAATTAGAATGACGCTGAGCCTCGACACCATAAGCCAATCATTAAACGCTTTCGTCACAAGGGGGCGTTAGCCAATCTCGTGTCGTAGTTTAAGCCCCGTGTGTTGCTGTGGTAACTTCAGGCCTGTGCTCTTGCTTTATTTACTTCAACGGTTTGCAGACATGTCGGCCAGAAGATTCTTCGTTGGAGGAAACTGGAAAATGAATGGCAACAAGGAGAGTCTTGGCGAACTCATAACAATGCTGAACACGGCCAGTCTCCACGATGAAACAGGTATCTTTCAGCTATATACATTAAGCCTCCTCGCGTAGGCTGCAGCACCTGCCCTGATACACTGACCTCCAAAGGCCGTCCGCTCCTCAGTCAGAAGCTCTGTGTTACAAAACCACATATGGGTGGTGATGGTGATGGTGATGGTGTTGGTGTTGGTGTTGGTGTTGGTGTTGGTGATGGTGATGGTGGTGGTGGTGGTGGTGGTGATCATGATAAAACTGTAAAATCGGATGAAGATGGTAAAGTGAATATATGTGCAGACGCACTGCAGTCACCGCATAGTCAGGCAGGGCGATTTTGACATTGGCTAGTGACTCAACATCAGAGATGCTCAGTCTGAGAAGGGTTGACCACTCGCTTTATGAATTGCTATGTACGAATAAATGTCCCATCCTGGTGTTGGAGAGTTGTTATTTTGTATTTGAATCCTCCTCATACAGTAAAACAAAGGCTACACTAAAAAATCTACAGTGTCGAATGAACCGCTGTGTTAGTTTTAGTCCGGCTAGGTTGTATAAACAGTGAGAGATATTACAAGAATTCTGTTAAAACTTTAATGGTGTTTCCTTTATCTGTTGTCCTTGTGTTCCCTACGTATGCTGAAAAATAGTTTTAATGGCAGGCTAACGTATTAGAGAAGAATATGTTCAGCAAAACTGAGTTCTGTGAATTAATAGTTGCAGTGTTCATTTGCATTCTGGACTTACACTAGAAACAATGAAAGTCAGAAATAAAGTAGTGTTATTTGGATAAAAAGTCTTTTTATGAAGTAGAAGTATCGACATTATATAAACACTGCTGTATATCCATGTATTTACAATTATATGACTAAAAAAAATAAAAAAGTGTATAAATTGACCAGAATAGCCCCTGCATTACTGTATATTACAGGGACCCTCAACTCCAGTATTTTTTTTATTTTTATTATTATTATTACTATTGTTGTTGTCGTCATTATTATTATTATTATTATTATTATTATTATTATACTCAGTTCTGAGAAGGTTGGGACAGTTGGTAAAATGCAAATAAAAACAGAAAGCTGTGATTTATAAATCTACTTTGAATGACAGCTTTACCTGTATGAACTTCCTTTTTTTTTTAATTGATGCTGGAAACACGTACTAGAAAAAGTGGGAGAAGGACAATTTAGTACTAGGACTAGAAATATTGTGAAATATTCAGTTTAAAAATTACATTCCTCAGCCAGGAATTGCAAGGATTTTTAGGGATCTCACCCTCAACAATTACAGTGTGTGTGTGTGTGTGTATATATATATATATATATATATATATATATATAGAGAGAGAGAGAGAGAGAGAGAGAGAGAGAGAGAGAGAGAGAGAGAGAGAGATGTATGTAGTTCAAAGCTATAAAATACAAGTGAGTGTAGATTACAGTCAAATTCAAATTCTAAATTAGCAGTACTTGTTAATGCCAAATACCTGGGAAACACAATTATATTATCGGCTATAGGAATACAAATCAGTGAGACGTATTGAGTATTGAGACATCATTTTCTATTCACATCTTAGTACAGCCTCCACTCTTCTGGGAAGGCTTTACAGTAGATTTTGGAACATGACTGCGGATTCGCTTCTGTTCAGCCACATGAAATTCTGTATCTATGTGTTCTGTATCTATGAGTTGCGTTTTTTCCCCCGCAGAGGTGGTGTGTGGAGCCCCCTCTATCTACCTGGATTATGCCAAATCCAACCTGGACCCCAAGATTGGTGTAGCTGCCCAAAACTGCTACAAGGTGGCCAAGGGTGCCTTTACTGGTGAGATCAGGTACTGTTAGTTATTTTTATTTTCTTGTTTTAATTTTAATCAGTGTGTGTCAAACATCTCAGTCTTTCATGTTAATGTAATAATGATACCAACTGTTTTTCATGACACCCTGGTGGTGTAGCCCAGCAATGATCAAGGACTGTGGTGTAGACTGGGTGATTCTCGGCCACTCAGAGAGGAGGCACGTCTTTGGTGAAAGCGATGAGGTAAAATGTTTCATCAGCTGCAATAAGTACTGTCCAGTCACATACATTTATTTTAGTCTACTTTTTCTCTTCAACACTTAAACACATCTTTGTAAATAACTCACCACTGAGACACTAAGGTAAAGGTGGGAGGTATGTCAAAAATATAGCATACCTGATACATAATATATATTACAATGTGTTGTTTTTCTGAGGTTGGTAAATAATCTCAGAACAGACAAAATTCACTGGGACAAACATTGGTGCTACATTTTAAAAAGCCTACAAAAGCAGTTCGTGGTTGATTACATACTCCCTATAACTGGGCTAAATCTTTATTGAGATACATGCACTTGTTCAGTGTTCTACAAGTATTGGCGATACATGACATAATTAAGTAATAGAACACGAGAGGGAGTGTGTTAACACACGACCTTGAGTGTTCTATAGCTTTTATACAACAGTTAAATAAATAAAGTAAGAAACAAATAAATTGGGCTGTGAACGTGGCATTTAATGTTTTAATGTTAGAAAATCCTTCCACCAAATTATAGTTCCTTAACAAGCAGCTTGTTTCTGCATCAGAGTAACAAACTCCTCTCACTTGCTGCACAGCCAGCAGTTTGTCCTCCAGCTCCGTTTTTGTTCCAGCCAGGCTGTAAAGCATCTTACGTTGCTTACGGCGTCTCAGCGGAGTGATACAGTGTGTTATTATGAGTGATACATGCTGTTATTTCGCCATAGAACGCTTCTCAACCAATCAGCTTGCGTGGCTGGAACTAACTGTTGTATAATAATATATGAAAGCATATTGTGATGTCAGTTAGCACAATAACAGTAACATACCGTGATATTGGCCTCCCCTACAGTAACCGCAGCACCCAGTTCATCGTTTCCATGTCAGTTTCTCTTTCTGATTTTGTGTGTTGTGAATATGTGCTGTTGTGCAGCTGATTGGTCAGAAGGTGGCTCATGCACTGGAGAGTGGATTGGGAGTGATTGCGTGTATTGGTGAAAAGCTGGAGGAAAGAGAGGCTGGGACCACAGAGGAAGTGGTGTTTGCCCAGACCAAAGTCATTGCAGGTAAAAAAATGTACAATTTGCTGATATCCAGTGTTTGTTAGCCATGTTAGCCTTGTTTTTTTTCCCCTGAACTATTCCTTTAAATCAACAATCTGCAATTGCATCTATAAAAATAGTGTCTGCTAAATGTAAATATTTTTAAGGTGAATTCCACATATATTTCAACATTTCTACATAATAAAATCATTAGAATGTAAACAAAGTCAGTTAGAGTGATTTGATGTGAAACGCTCCATTGTAGAGAAACATAATGATCCAAAACTGTTCACAGTGGTGGTGACAGAAACCAAATGTCCAAAGTTTTTAGTGCCTCTAAAAGCTCACTCACAGACAATTAGTACATGAAATGGTTATGAATATTACCTGATGCCTGAAACATTGTTTTATGAAAGGTTTGACATATGATTGTGGCCTAAAAAAGTTTTTTTTTTCTTTTCAAAATACGTTAATAGTGAAGAGGTACATGCAGGGTGTTGTAAGACAGAAAACCTAATTTTTAGACAGTTTTAACATGTTTATTACATATAAAAACTTCGAAATAGGTTCGCTGGTCATTTTGGGCAAAAAATAAAACGGCTACATTTGTGTTGTAGACATTGTGACCTCCGATCACCACCAGTGTAAAGTAAACTTGTCTGTAAGTTTTTCTTCAATGCATTCCACATCTGACCACCTTGAATGATGTTATTTACATCCCCTTTGAAAATTGAATCTTGGGCTGATTCAGAAGTGTTCAAGTAAGCCATGCTTTTGTAATCCATTGTTCAGTCTGGTGTTCATTTATACCACTTCAGCACAGTAGGTGGTGATATTCCTCTAACATTGGCATCTCACCTATGAGCACAAATGAAAAATGAAACTGACCACTTTGCATATCCAGGCCAGCAAAGAGAGCAGGAGCATTTGTTCACAAACACAGTAATTTTAGAATAAATACAAATACATAAATAAACAAAACATTGTGATTTATTGTGTTAGCCAAAATATGAATACAAAAATATGAATTACTTAAAAAAAAAGGTTTTTACTAATCTTCCTGCCAAGTATAATAGTTTTAAATAGTTTTCTTGTCTGCCTAAGGCTTTTGCACAGTACTGTATACATGATAAATCCTTTGATTAAAAACACTTACATTGGGTCATGAACACTGAAACTTTGTTTCTTTTAAACTTGGAAATAAACAACATAATGTATTAGAATTTTGGAAAAAAAATGTAACAAGTAAAAGTTTTGACCAATAAAATCATTTTAGGTCACTGGTCAAAAGCTAATTTGTGATGTTGAACATGTTAGGGCCTTTGTGCAAAAAGGTTAAGTTTTAGGGTCTTCTAAATGTCTTATTCCATCCAATGAAGCTTGTGTTCAGACGACTCTCAGGTTTTGATCTACTTATCAGAGGCTTTTGCACAAAATTGTCCATGCCAGCACTTATTAAAGCAAAAGAGGGATATAACACATATTGATAAATTCTGAAACTCATGAAAATATTTCAAAGATTTTTCTTTTCAAATTTTGCTGATAATGTCATTTGTAATGAACTGTTAAAAGGATAAAGCAATGCAAATTAGAACCATTTTTAGTAGTGGTCTCAGATCTTTGGACTCCACTGTATACAAAAATTCAAGAATAGTTAATTTTATAATATAAAATATTATAAGATTAATAATAATTTATTGTCTCCTAACAGTTTATCACTCAGGATATAGTTATGATGTGATTGCTAATCACACAATAGCAGTTAAGGGCTGCTAATCACATGTACTGTTTCTGTTTGTATGGAGATATGCATGCTGGGAAATACTGTTGGGAATTTCATAATGTATGTCTTTTATTTGTGATCCTTTGCAGACAATGTGAGTGACTGGGGTAAAGTGGTGTTGGCATACGAGCCTGTCTGGGCTATTGGCACCGGCAAAACTGCCACACCAGAACAGGTAGGTATTTATCATCTGAGACATTCCTTTGTTCATATATTCACACACTTTCCACTCTTATTTTGACTTTTAGATTGAAGTGTGTGCTTTAGAAATTGAATAAGGTTGTACACTGATCAACATACCCATTGTGTTCCTCAACCATTCCCACATTTTGAAATGTTTTGAAATGGTGATTCATTGTGTTTAATTGGATGGTACTCAAGAATCCATGTATGTTGGATGGTGACCAAAAAGAAGACCAATTGACTAAAATAGCAGGAAAACACGGTAGACAAACTCAGAGAATCCAAAAGCCTGAAGAAGAAACTCGACAGCAGGATGTCCTTTGTGAGAATACTGAGACAGATCTTATTAAGCAAAGTGGCAAGATGGAGGTCAACAGGTTTGCAGGACATTTAGAGACATGTTTGTACAGGCTGTGTGGTTTGTTGCATGGATTTTGTGTGTCTGAGAACTTCAGCGTAAGTGGCATGTTAAAATTCTTTACAAGCATGTGCTTGCCTCTTAGTAATCTGCAAAGAACATGTTCATCTTTCAGTGATATTTGAAACAGGAGGATAGTCTGTTGAATGTATTATTGTTATCTAATGGAATGTTGATTTTATGTTGAGGTGTATTTTGTCAATATTCCGTTGGGCCACACACAAAGTACTGTGAACATCCTCTGTTTATTCAATTGCCAGTCAAAAAAAAATCATTTTCAGGAAACAATTGTAGTTCAAAACAATGATCCAGAGAAAATGGGACTTCCAAACAACTGTGTAAGAACTGGTAGACGCCCAAAACTGTCACCATCAGTTCATCATAAACAGTTCTTACTTTCATCTTTGAGAGAGAGGAGAAAATCAAGCTCCACTCTTACTTCAGATCTGAAAAAGCCCACAGGTGATTCTGTCCATCCTTCCACTGTGTGAAAGCAATTTAATAGTAAGAGTCTGAAAGGATGTGTAGCTGTCAAGAAGAGAAAAGAAAATAGAAGCTGCTGATGTTCTCAGAACAATGGACTGGCACCCCAGAATTCAGACCTTAACATTTACTCCAAGCGTTTGGGATTACTTATATCGAGAGAAGCAGAAAATGCAACCAACTTCTAAGACTGAACTTTGAAGGTTTGGCAAAATATCCCTGCAATTTTCTTTGAAAAGCTAAAAGCAAGTCTCCTGAAAAGAGTGGAATCTGTAATGAAGGCAAAAGGTGGACACATACTAAATACTGGAAAAAATTATTATATTTGGTTGTTGAGGCTTCCGTGTTCTTTTCCTTTAAATGTTTTCTTCTTTTTTTCTCTAGTGCTAAATAAATAACTAGAAATGACTAGAAATTAAATAAATGAAAGGTGGTCTCCAGATACATGAACTAACAAGGTCAATTTTAATTTCAGGTGGACTGTAAGCAGCATCACTGCTGTGAATTAGCCAGTGCTGTAGATCGTCACAGCTGTGATGAGGAATGATGTTTTTTCATGATAACAGACAGTTTTATATTGTTTTTATACAACAGTTTTGAAAAGCAAAAAAAGCAAAAAGCAAACAAACAAGTAAAAAGCAAACAATTAAAAGAATGTGGATACTCAAACATCACATCCATATGTGCTTGTTGAACATCTCATTCCAAAACCATGGATGTTAATATGGAGTTAGATCCCCCTTCACTGTATAACTTCCACTTATCTGGGAAGGCTTTCCATGAGATCTTGAAGTGTGGCTGAAGGAATTTATTTCCATTCAGCCTCAAGAGCATCAGTGAGGTCAGGCATTGATGTTGATCAAAAAAAGCCTGTCTTGCAGTCAACATTCCAATTCATCCTAAAGCTGTTGATAGGGTTGAGGCCAGGGCTCTGTACATGCCGATCAAGTTCTTCCACCCCAAACTTTCCAGACTATTTCTTCATGGGCCTCACTTTGTCTTTATATGCTGTAGCATAAAGATTTCCCTTTGCTATAACTAAGGGGTCCAGCCCAAAACTTGTGGGGCTGCCTCAGGCCTTTATTCCACCTTACAGTTGCCATGTATTCAGTATATTACTGAGTGTAGTACATGTGACATGTGTACATGTTTGTGACCATTTATATCTGTATGTGACCTCTCTTTGCCCCCCCCCTTCTGCCCCAGGCCCAGGAGGTGCATGAGAAGCTGAGAGTTTGGATGAGGGAGAATATCTCAGAGGCTGTGGCTGACTCTGTGCGCATCCTCTATGGAGGTAGGTTTGAAACCCAAGTGCTTTTCTGTCATTTATCAGTCCTGCCCTGATTCAGAGAATATACTGCTGATTACAGTGCAAGCCAAGCCCCTCGATTTGCTCTGACATTAGAAAAGTATCATTTGTGCCTGCTTAGCACAGCCATTTATACACCTAGAAAAAAAAAATAAAACCCAATTCCAATTATTTGCTTTTCTCATACTATTAGGAAAGAAAGCAGTGATCCACTTTGATTGGTATTCAAATAAAAACAGTGCAAAGACAATATATTTAATGTTTCACCTTATCAACATCATTGGTTTTTGTAAATACATGCTCATTCTGAAATTTTCAACATGTTCCAAAAAGTTGGAGCATTTTAAGGTTAGGAACATTGGCCCATATTTATCAAACTTATTAGAGCAATAATACTGATCTGAGATCAACTTTTGCTTTTTATCTAACACTAAATAAAATTCCATGACCTGATGAGACCTGATCTTGGATCATTGGGCCTTATTCACCAACCATTCTTATGAAAAAAATTCTTTTTAAAAAAAATCTGCATGAAAAAAATTCTTTTTAAAAAAAATCTGCATAAAAAGTGCATAAAAAGCAAAGCTGAAAACCATAATTGAATGCCTGTGACCTTTGACCCCTCAGACGGTACTGCGTTTAAAAGAGGCATGTTTCTGTGATGGATACGAACACATGGGTTCAGAAATATGACAAACCATAGTCGGTGAACACCATTAATCGCTACATTTACAAATTCAAGTTAAGACCATACTATGCACAGTGGAAGCTGTGTGTCAACAACATCCAGAAGCGCTGCCAACTTCTCTGGGTTCGAGCTCATCTGTAATGGACAGATGCGCAGTGGAAACATGTATTATGGTCTAACGAGACGAACTTTCAGATGTTTATGGAAATAAACATCCACCGGTTCCGGCGCCGCGGTGGGTAGCTGCAGCGGCCACTTCAGGAACAGCAAAACGGTGCTTTTTTGCTGTTTTTTGTCTACTATCTGTTGTGTAACCTGACCAAAACTATATATCATGACTGCGTCAACCAGCACCAGCGCCAGAGCCTGCTACAGTTGAGAAATCAGCCTCAATCTCAATCTCTACTTCCAACTGAACTGCAGGAAGAGCTGCGCGAGCTGTCCGCGCGTACAGAGGCGCTGAGTTGTGCGGTAAGACTCGAGGTGGGGGACTGTGTGTTTACATCAACACTGAATGGTGTAGAAACGCGGCACTAGTCTCTAGTCACTGCTCACCGCTGGTGGAGCTTGCGATTGTCAGAGCCAGGCCATTTTATTTGCCAAGAGAGCTATATATGCTGTACATAGTAGCGGTGTACATAGCTCCCAGTGCTAATGCTAACGCCGCACTGAATGAGCTGTACAGCGCTATCAGCGATCTGCAAAACACACACCCAGACGGACTGTTTATTGTTGCTGGAGATTTAAACCATGCAAATCTGAAGTCAGTGCTCCCCAAATTTCACCAGTATGTGGACTTTGCAACCCGGGGGGGGGCTAACGTGCTGGATCTTGTTTACACAAACATCCCCGGCGCGTACAGGGCTGAGCCCCGTCCCCACTACGGCTACTCAGACCACATCTCTGTGATGCTCATTGCAACATACAAACCGCTCATCAGACATGCCAAACCAGAAGTAAGTGAGAACCTGGCCACCAGGAGCTATTTCTGCTCTTCAGGACTGTTTTGAGCACACTGACTGGGAGATGTTCAGAGAAGCAGCAACCTCCGGTGACTCCATCAACCTGGAGGAGTATACAGAATCAGTGACTGGCTACATCAGCAAGTGCATTGATGTTACTGTCTCCAAACTTGTCACAACTCACCCCAGCCAGAAACCATGGATGACTGCAGAGGTGCGCATGCTACTGAGAACCCGTGACAAGGCTTTCAAGTCAAGAGACAGAGCAAGCCTCAGGATAGAAAGAGCCAAGCTTTCCCGGGCCATCAAAGAGGCTAAGCGTGCCTACTCAAAGAAAATCCATGAACATTTTCAAAACACTGCTGACACACGGCGCATGTGGCAGGGCATCCAGGCCATCACCAATTACAAGTCACCTTTACCTGCTTGTGACAGTGATGCCTCCCTTCCAGACGCACTAAACAACTTCTATGCTCGGTTTGAAGCACAGAACTGCACGACGGCGAGGAAAACCACACCTCCTCCAAGTGAACAGGTACTGTGTCTGTCCACAGCTGATGTGCGGAGAACTCTACACAGAGTCAACCCAAGAAAAGCTCCAGGATCCGACAGCATACTGGGCAGAGTGCTCAGAGAATGCGCTGAACAGCTGGCTGATGTTCTCACGAACATATTCAAAATCTCTTTGAGCACTGCAGTCGTTCCAACGTGCCACCACCATCATCCCTGTGCCAAAGAAGTCTCCAATGTACTGCCTCAATGACTACTGTCCCATTGCACTCACTCCAATTATCATGAAGTGCTTTGAGAGGCTTGTCATGAGGCACATTAAAGACCAGCTTCCTCCTTCACTGGACCCACTGCAATTTGCATATTGCCCCAACCGCTCAATAGATGACGCCATCTCCACCACACTCCACGTGGCTCTCACCCACTTGGACAATAAAGACACTTATGTCAGAATGCTGTTCATAGACTTCAGTTCAGCATTCAACACCATCATCCCTCAGCAGCTGATTGGAAAACTGAGCCTGCTGGGCCTGAACGCCTCCCTCTGTAACTGGGTGCTGGATTTCCTGAATAAGAGACCTCAGTTAGTCAGGATAGGTAATATCATCTCCAGCATCACCATACTGAGCACCGGCACCCCTCAGGGCTGTGTGCTCAGTCCGCTGCTGTTTACCCTGCTGACTCATGACTGTACTGCAAAGTACAGCTCAAATCACATCATCAAGTTTGCTGATGACACAACTGTGGTGGGTCTGATCAGCAAGAATGATGAGTCAGCGTACAGAGAGGAAGTGCAGCGGCTAACAGACTGGTGCAGAACCAACAACCTGTCTCTGAATGTAGACAAAACTAAGGAGATGGTTGTTGACTTCCGAAGAGTGCGAGGTGACCACCCCCCACTCAACATCACTGGCTCTGCTGTGGAAATCGTCCAGAGCACCAAGTTCCTGGGTGTCCACATCACAGAGAACCTCACCTGGTCCCTCAACACCAACTCCATAGCCAAGAGTGCCCAGCAGTGCCTCTGCTTCCTGCGGAGACTGAAGAAAGCTCATCTCCCCCCTCCCATCCTCACCATGTTCTACAGGGGGACTGTGGAGAGCATTCTGAGCAGCTGGTTTGGGAATTGCACCGCCTCCGACCGCAAGACCCTACAGCGCATAGTGAGGACAGCTGAGAAGATCATCGGGGTCTCTCTCCCCTCCATCATGGACATCTACACCACACGCTGCATCCGCAAAGCCACCAGCATTGTGAACAACCCCATCCATCCCTCACACAGACTTTTTTCACTGCTGCCGTCTGGCAGAAGGTACCGGAGCATCCGTGCCATCACTGCCAGACTCTGCAACAGCTTTGTCCCTCAAGCAATCAGGTTTTTAAACTCACAAGGACTGAACTAACCCCCCCCCCACCCCCACTCACTCATACACTTATTTTGATGCTCTACTTGCACTATCTGGAACATTGCTGCTAATACTGTGTTTACACTGTTTTTACTTCCTCAGTAATTGTTTTACTACCTCAGTAACTGCTGTGTATGTATGTTATCTGACGTAACTTACAGATCACATCATGTTAAATATGTCTGCACCTTATTCCACTACCTCATGTCCAGAAATCTGTGCTGTGTCGGTGCTACACTGTCCGGTCTGTTCACTGTGTCTAATGTCTGTTTAATTTATTGTATTGTTTCTAGCTTAATTTTTGTTTGCACTCTGTCTGCACGTTCGCACTTCCTTGTTGCACCTTCTTCCTGGAGGAACGTAATTTCACTCCACTGTGTACTTGTACATAGATGGAATGACAATAAAAGCCTCTTGACTTGACTTGAAATAATGGACATCATGTTCTCTGGGCCAAAGAAGTAAAGTACCATTGTTACCAGCATAAAGTTCAAAAGTCAGCATCTGTCATTGTATGGGGTTGTTTTAGTGCCCATTGCATGGGTAACTTGCAAATCTATGAAAGCACAATTACTGCTATTTGAAGGTTTAAGGCACATGGTTACTCATGTTGATTTAAGCATCTGTGTAGAGACTTGCGTGTAAAGCATTAACACTTTGTAATGAAACATATTTTGTTCTTTTTCTCCGCTCTTTCTCTTAGGCTCCGTGACAGGGGCTAACTGCAAGGAACTTGCTGGCCAAGCTGATGTTGATGGCTTTCTAGTGGGCGGAGCCTCTCTTAAGCCCGAGTTTGTTGACATCATCAACGCGCGGGCATAGAGAAGGTTTCACTGAGTCACAGAATGATCACAGAGTCCAGACACAGCACATCCATGTCCAATCTCTAACCACTTATCCTAGACAAATGGAGGCAATTGGAGTCTGTAAGTGAGAGTAATGATAGTAACTCTACACTGCATACTGGCTGAGTCATAGCTTGTATGGTTTCACTCCTTAACATTTCACAGTAAGTGTCAAGGGGAAGGGGTTAGTGTGTTTAGTATTGGACCACTGGCTTCCACTTTTTTCCCTACCTCTGCTAAGTGTGTTTAAGATGGTGAAGGCATAAAGGCACCATTGCCCTTGGATGAAGTTCCTTACTAGCTTTAGCACCTGAACTATATTAGCTATATGTTTACAAAGTGTACTACTTGATCGGATAGGTCCACATAAGTACGCGTTAAATGGTAGTGACGATATACTTGCACTGTGCGCATTGTGCTATTCCCTTTTTAAGACTGGCCCTGTTCCAAAACCCTCCAGAAGTGCGTTCTTAATCTTTTCTTTTCATTTATAGTTGCTGCTCTTACCAAGGGCTGAGTGACAGCAAAACAGCTTTAACCTTTATACTTCTTCAAAGCTGGTACTTCCTGGTAATCCAAGTTCACAATGCTCATTCACTTTGAGGTTAGAAACGGTACTTTAAAAAACTTTGTTCTCCATCTTCCTGCCTTTTTCTGATGTGAAATGGAAGGAATGAACTGAAATCACATGGTTTTGAGGCGTGCTATTCCAAAGAGACGAGAGCCAGTCATTATACGTCAGACCTCTCACTAACTCTCAGGCTCCATTTTCCTGCCTGGGTTTCTAGCTGATAATTACAGCTGACAAGTGACACTTGAGTGTGTTTTTTTTCTCAGTCAGAAGCTTGTAATTACAGTAATTCTGCCCTGGATTGAATGCAGCATGAAATGTATTTTTTTTCCCCCCTCACCTTTTCCACCCATTTGGGTATCAGTTAGTAGAAAGACAGGAAGTGCGCACTTCTTTAGACATTTGGAACTGGGCCACTGTATTATATGAAACTGTAATCATTACTTGATGTCGTATTCCCTCTGCTCTCACTCTTATTCTGTAGCTGAAATAAACTGTATTGTCCGCCACAAAAAAACTCTTTTTGATCTGCTTTACTTCAGTCTCTGATACTAGCATTTGGATAAATGCTGCTAAGATTTTGTTCTTCTGTCAAAAGCATGAGCTCCCCTTCATTTGTTTGTATCTAATTGGAATATTTGGTTGCTAAATGTAAATGGGACTTATTTCTTCAGAATTTGGGGTCTGAATGTAGCAGTGGGTGGTAAATTGATGTTCTGAATGAACAACTCTCTGGGTGTAAAGAATTTCTTTTTGGTGATGTAGATAACGTCTAGCATGTTCCACGGCGGTAGGAATAAAAGGAAAGCATTCACAGCCACAGCGGTTGTCACAACATGGAACTGGAGCCACAGGGTTGCACTGAATTACTGCACATATCAAAACCTCATTACAATTCTCAAGCAAAATATGCTTTTAAATATGACATGTGCTTGTTTGCATATATGCTGTTTCCTTTATATAGTTTACTAATGTAATAGAGTTTTATATATATATATATATATATATACATACATATATATATATATATATATATATATATATACTATTGATTGCCTGAGCTCTGCACTCCATATAATAAATATATAAATCTTTTACACAATATCATATTATATCAAAAATGTCTCATTTTTATACCATACGAAAACAGCATTTACATTAAATATTTCATGATGCATGGTCTAAACTACAGTACTGTGTAAAGTCAGTGATCACCCTTGAATTATTTAATTTCCAGTCAAAACAGTTAAGAAAGTAAAACTTATTTTTCAGGTGATATTTTAGAGGAGCTTAGATATAAGATTATATAAAGAAGCAGAAAGTCAAAAGGAAAATAAGAAAAAAAATGGACTTTTATAAAATAGTAAAAGATCTAGAGAAAATGGGACTCCTAGCAACTGTGCAAAATCTGGTAGACCACCAAAACTGTCACCATCAGATAAACAGTACTTAAAGCTTTCTAATTAGAAAATCAAGCTTCACTCTTACTTCAGATCTGAAAAATCCACAGATGTTTCTGACCATCCTTCCACTGTAAGATGACAACTCAACACTATGAGTCTGAAAGGATGTGTAGCTGTCAAGAAGTCATTACTGAGAAAAGGTAATAGACAAAAAGAAGAACATCTGGGAAACAAAGAAGCTACTGGTGTTCTCAGAACAGTGGACTGGCCACTCCACATCTCAACATCACTGAATATGTTTGGGATTACTTGGATTGTGAGAAGCTTAAAAAGCAGGCAACTTCTAAGACTGAACTTTGGAGGTGTGGAAAAATGTCCCTGCAGATTTCTTTGGAAAAACTAAAAGATAAAAAGAACTTGTTTAAAAGGTAAAGGGTGGACACAATACTGAAAATGTCAATATGAAATGTAGTTGTTGAAGCTTCTGTATTATTACCTGTTAAATATGTTTGGTTTTTTTCCTGATACTAAAAAAATTAATAACTTGTACTTAGTGGCTGTTTTGACTTGAGGTAAATGAAGGGTGGTCTCTGACTTTTGTACAGTACAGTACGTAGAATACAGTCTCATATTATTAAACCTCTCCCAAACACACCCCACTCCTGTCTTATCCAACAACAAACAAGACACGGTGGAAGTAAATGATAATTTTAATCCATGGCATTATTGTATGGCAAGCGTTTTGTTTTTTTCCTCTCTATTTTTCTTTTCTCTTTGACCACAGTGATTCCACAGATAGAGAAATAGATGGAGGGGAAATTCAAGCATGAAAGATCAAGCCAAGTCTGCAATCATAGCAATGGCAAGAGGAAAAGAGGGAGAAAGGGGGTTACAACAAAACAACAAGAAAAGGGAAATATTAGGGAATGCAGGGTAAGAGAGGAGGACAAAAGGAACAAGGGAGAAAGATGAAAAGGGGGAAAAAGTGCAGTCGTGTGTGTCGGGAAGTGAAAGCGTGTGAGACTGCCACACAAATGTGTGTGTAGTTTTGTCAGTGTAAGCGTGCCTGACGGTCCATTTCCCTGACAGGATAGTCCTGTCAGTGTGAGTCCATCTCTCTGTTGCTTTGACTTCATTTTGTGCTTCAGGATTTTTCTCTTCTTTCTTTTTTTCTACGTGCACTTACGATGTCTGTCCACCTCCATCTCAGTCAGCCCTCAGACTTTCTGCCTACAACAGCACACTCAGTGAGATCTTCGAGGAACACTCCAGCTTTTTTAACCTAATCTTTGCTGCTTCTGAAACATCAGGTCAAACAACAGGGACAAAATTTATAAAATTTCATTTGCCGAATGTAGAAGGACATAAATCCTGTTGACTCAAAAACACTTATAATAGAACCTGTGGTGCTAAAGCAACTGCCAAATAGCTATTATTAATGTGTTTCTGTGCTTTTAACAAGTACACAAACCCTGCTAGAAAAACCAGCATAGATCAGCATGGCTGTTTACCAGCAAAACCAGTGTATATTGTGTTTTGATGCTGGTATGCTGGTCAACCAGCATGACCATGCTGGGGTGACCAGCTAAACCAGAACCAGACCAGTACTAGACCAGCATAACCCAGCTTAGACTAGCATGAAATGCTTGCTGGTCTGTGCTATTTTCAGCAGGGGAAACACTTCAAACTTACTGTGTGTGGTAATTAACCATATGCTACAGATATGGTTGATTTAGATTTGGCTGAAAAATGCTGGTGTATTCCTATAAGCTAGTATAACTAGTATGTATGCATCTGCACCAGTTTCACAATCCACTTCTTATTTGGCATGTTCACACCTTGCATTAACATGCATTTGTGATGATCAGATCACGTTCATATTTAACCTGACCACATTAAAAAAGCCAGGTGTAAACACACAGGATGCTTTGTGAGCAGATTAGGATTGGATCACTCGAACTGCATTCGAAGGTGATCAGAGATGGATCTTGGCCACATTTAATACAAGTGTAAATGGAGTTTCTTCTGTATCCGTATACAATTATGTGAATGGAAGTGTGTGTGCCATGCACTGACTAGCAGGTGAGTAGATTAACAATGAAACAAAAGATGGAGGATAAGAGAGACTGGACTAAGAGTTTTCTTGCACTCTAGGCTGATGAAAGTGTCCAGGACAAGCTTGTCATCCTTCTTACTTTTATCTTATCTGGTTGCACTGGGGACACATTTTAGTGAGTGTGAATAGAATCCAGCCAAAGTTTATACAGATATAATCCAGACACAAAACATTCACATGTTGACACAAGGTGTAAACAGACTTATAGTGAAAGTACTGATCTAGAATCACCTTCACCTTCCAAACCCTGATTAAATACACTTATTTGGGGATGAAAAACTAGCTCTAGATCAGGATTATGTCTCTGAGACTATTCTAAACATTGAATGCCCATTACTATTAATACTACTTTCAATATACGTTGGCCCTGCTAGGTATTTTTTTTTATTCTCACTGCAGTACATGGCACTTCAAAAGGTCATTCAGCATGGCTTCAAAGAGAGAACTGCCCCTTAAATCCAACTCAACTCATTAATTCATTCTTTTATTAGAACCAACCCCAACTAAATCTTGTTTGACTACAGAAGGACTTATATTTTATATTTTTCTGTATAAGCTAATAATAAATTGTCAGTTCTGTTCTATTCCATCGCTTTCAGTATCTCAAGTCATTTTGTGCATGCATGTGTGTTTCCATCCTGTGCATAAGCTACCTGTCGGGTCTTGTGCGTAAACTCAGTCCATCCTGGCTCTTTAATTCATTTTACTTGGTCTATCATTGCTTTTCGTCAAGTCAAGTTGCGTGCATGTTGTCTCTGTGTGTGCATGGCTATCAGTTCCGTGCGTCACTGTTATTTTGAGTTGTGGAAACCGTTGTGTCAGTAGGTGTTCAGTGCAAATAGTCCTCTCATCAGTTATTATAGTGCATCACGTTTTTTCAGTCTGTTGGTTCGTCAGCTGTCGCCTCTGTCTTGGTCAGTGCATATTGTCTGGTGGTTGTTGTGTGTCAGTTGTTGTGTGGACTTTGTGCAGTCGGTGGTGGTCTCACAGGGCGCTGGGGTTTCTGAAGTTGTGGCCAGCAAATCGAGCTTGATCGCCCAGCTCTTCCTCAATCCTGTAGGGCAGAGAGAGAAAAAAGAGTGAGATCAAGGGAACAATCTATAAGAGAACAGGGAAATGAAGTAGACACATTAAAATGTCTGTTCCATAATCTGGCCAAAAAGTGTACATCATTTTCTTCTAACCCCCAGTGCAGTCGTTTGCTGTTTAGTGTACAAAGTCTGCTTGTTTATTTTTGCACTTTAGCTTTGGGATTAATGAACGTAGTGCATAATGGAAGTTTACACCGATATCAATATTTTGACCCTGACTAGCATTGACTCTACTAGACCTCTGCCTTGTGATTGAGGCTGAGCCGCCACTAATTGGACATGTTGTTCCAGCACCTCCCACAGATGCTTGATTGGATTGAGATCTGGGAAATATGAAGGTTGTCATGTTCCTCAAGCCAGTGCACATCTCCCTGCTAAAAGAGGCAATTGCTATCAAAAAACATCATCATGAAGGGGTGTGAGGGTTTGTCCCTCCTCAAACCACTTTCAGTCGGTACTCAACACTTATGACTGGGAGCACCCCATACACCTTGCTGTTTAGGAGAAATGGCATCTGGACATAACGATATGGCTCTGGTCAAAATTGCCCAGGTCTTTACACTGGTCTTTTCCCCAACATCTAATTATTACAACATAATCAGCATTATTCATCTTCATCTGTGAGTGGTCATGTTTTGGCCCATCAGAAAACCTGATGGCCACTGCACGTTCTACTACCCGCTTGGACAGTGAAGGGTGAGTGAGGAGTATTCAGTTAGTTGCAATCTGCAACCTTACCACTAGATGCCACTAAATCTTACAAACTGCATCTTTAATGTCCTTGGCACAGCAGATATTTAAAATGGTTAAAACTCAAAACACTGAGCTGAAGTAAAACTGCTTTAGCACTAATGTCAAAAAATGTCTTGACTTAGGGTTTTTTGTCAAGATTTCCAAACCATTGTTCA